GGGGGGCCATTTTTGGGGCCAACGCGCGTCTGCGCTAGGCGCGGCTGCGCTTTGCAAGGAGTAAGAGCTCAGTAGGTAGATATGATAGAGTGATTAAATAATAAAAACGCGTTAATATTACGCGTTTTTTATTTGTCTTGAAAAGGTTGGATCGTTTGATAGGCCAATAGAAACTACCTATTTACCAAGTAGAGCCTATGGGAATCACGTGTAGCGCACACGTGACTAACATCGTTGTCATAGCCGCCAGGTGCAGGTAGGTCGGGACTTTTACAATCTACTGTAATACTACTATTAATAGTATATGCGAACAGACCATAGAAAGGGTATTCACTCTACAGACATAGTTATATACGATTAATTAGAATCCACTCCTCCTATCTGATTAGTCAGAAAAACTCTGGAATTCCAGAGCCTATTCGATGGAAATAAGTATTCTATCTATAAGGACCTCTGGAAATATTCCACATGCAATGAAATCATGGAATCTAAGCGATCGAGTGCCATCTGCCGAACGCTGGCCAACGAAGCTGCTATCGCTTACCATAGAATCCCCGTGGTGGTACTGCAGTAGCAAGGGACTGCAGGCAGCTAAATCTCACACCTTCAATTTTCGTCTCCAGAATCAAACGTTTGTCTATTTTTCTGTAGTCAGTCAATCTATATTTATCAGGATTCCACATCACTGTGATCTGTCTCATATATCTCGGGTCTATTACCAAAACCAAGTTATCTTGTCCCAAGAGAGCCGAGTAGCCTGCGCGTATAGTCTAAGCCGTCAGCCTTATTTTGCCTTCAGTCTGAGAACAATACCTGGAAACCCCCGAGGATGGCGGACGTCATTGGTATAATTGGGAGCGCAGTTGGCGTAATTTCCTTCAGCCTGCAAGTCTGCAAGGGACTCATACAATATTATGAGTCCTACAAGGATAAACGGAAGGATATTGAAAGGATGGTATCGGCTCTAAAAAGTCTCACAGGGACTTTGGAAACGCTCAAGGATCCTATTAGCACAACGATGTTCTCTAAGAAACAAATTGAAAATATTTCAAGCAACATAGAGGACTGCGAGGAGAGCATCATGGACTTTTCAGAAGTGCTGGGGAAGATCAAAGAGTCTGACGTACCGGGAACAGCTGGGACTCGGAATATTGGATTTAGTGAGAAGTTCAAGGAGGTGAAAGGTCGACTTGTATATCCGTTCCGGGAGAGTACGATTCTGAAGTTGCAAGAAAGTATTGGTCATGTCAATAGTAACTTAGTGTTAGTGATGCAAAGTATGCGACTGTGGGTACCTCTCTTGATTTTGTCATATTTAAAGGCTTCATGTAAACTAACTAGTCATAGATCGACAATCCCTATGTTTAATGAGAAACTTGATCATATCTCTCGTGAAGTGGATCTCCTGGTCACTAGTCAAGCAGGTAAGGAGTACACCTTCTCACCACAAGAAGCAAATTGCTGATTGTCGAATCTGCGAAGACGAGAAAACACAGACTATACTAAACTGGATGTCAACACTCGATCATAACTCCAAGCAGGAAGAGACATCCAGCAGGCGTGAGGAGGGAACTGGGTTGTGGTTATTTGAAACACAGGAGTTTAAGGATTGGGTTAATGGAAAAAACAAGGTTCTATGGGCGTCGGGAGGCCGTGAGTATGACCAAGAGATTCAAGATCTCTGAGGGGCTAACGCTCAACAGCTGGTGCTGGAAAAACCATTCTTGCGTACGAAACTCCGCATTGTATTATTTTTACCAGCTAACCATGTTTAGATCTTCGGTTGTCAATTACACAAAAACAAAGTCTAGGCAGGAGAATGTTGGCGTTGCATTCTTGTATTGCAACTACGCAGAAAGAGGTACTCAGCCACTGGAGCAATTAGTCGGAAGCATCGCTCGGCAGTTGTTTGAGGGTTGCTTGAGGCTCCCATTGAGTGTCATCGAAAAACATCAAAGCATCTTGTCCCGGTAAGAAGACAAACGAAAGTTGATGTGTTATCAGAGATGATCAGCATAGCACTTGACTCCTTTGAAAAAGTTCATGTCATCGTCGATGCACTGGATGAATGTGATAGCGCTGTAAGAGTTGATCTAGTTAGAACGATCCGATAAATGGTTGGCCGCGTACATCTTTTTTGTAGCTCTCACTACATGATAGAAGACATCTCAGTATATTTCATGAATGCTCTTACGATTCGGGTCAAGGGTAGTGATGAAGATATTCGAATTTATCTTCGAGCTCAGATCAACACCAAGAGTAATTTACTTCGTCTGTGTAAACAACATCAAGGCTTATCGGAGAGAATCGTGGAAGGAGTGACCAAGAAAACCGATGGAATGTAAGTTGAAAGCTCCCAAAAGTGCCGTGCGAGTATTTATTAACATCAAATAAGGTTCCTTCTCGCCCATTTTCACATAGAACCACTTACAGCAGAACTTCGTGTAAAACACCTACTTCGAACCCTGACTATATTACCAAGAAGTATATGGGCTACTTATGAGGACGCGGTAAAAAGAATTTTCAAAGGCCAAGACGAACGAAAGGCTCATGTTGCTAGGTGCGTTTTACTATGGGCAAGCTTTTCATCAAGACCATTGAAGGTTGAAGAGATGAGATGCAACATGCGATATCTGCCATGGAGCTCGACGAAGAAGACAACATCGTCGATACCGACGATCTGTATCCGAAAGACATTCTTGTAACAAGCTGCGCTGGCCTGGTTTTTATTGACGAGAACAATTTTGTGCGCCTGGTACATTACAGCATCCAGGAGTATCTTCTCCAGCAACGCGACCTCTTTCCAGAAGGCAACTTGGAAATTTCGAGGACTTGTATGAAATATTTGTCAATGGACTCATTTTTGACTTTGAATCGAAGAACGAAACCGGACACCTTTCTATGGAAGAAGCCCTGTACAACAGTATGGCTACAGATTTCCCTCTACTACACTATTCCTGCAGATCATGGATGAAAATGGTTGAAAGTAAGGAAATTTCAAACTCACTCTCGAGTGAGATATTAAATTTCGTCAGCAACAAACATTCCAAGGGTCTTACTCTCGTAGTCAGTGACTCACTGCTCTTCCAACAGAATGACACACTTTTCGAAACATTCACGCAAAGTAGGCTAAAAGAAAAGGTTCTAAGTCTGTCAAATTGCTTTGGTATAAACGCTCTGGGGAAATTTACAGCTCTGTTCAAGGCGGTAGTGTTCAATCTTCCTCAGTTAACGGAGATGCTCCTGAACCACGGGGAGAAGGTTGACCGGGCTTTTCCTGGTAATGTAACGAGCTTGCATCTGGCAGCTTTCACCGGACACAAGGAGGTCTTGAAACGCCTCTTACAGAATAGCGCCCGTGTCGATATAGAGTATGTAGCACCAATTGGGGAGAGCGCTGGACGGCTCTTCACTTGGCCTCTGCACAGGGACATTACAACATCGTAGATGAATTGGCAAAACACGGAGCAGATTTCAACGCAGAAGACACAGAAGGAAGAACTCCCCTAATCATCGCAGCTCGATGGTCACTCTTGGAGACCTTGCTTGGAGAATCTAAGGAGTTCACGTTGACTATCCCCTTATTTGCCCCTTATTTGCTAACCGAAGCAATCTGAATGCAACGGATTTACAAGGTCGGGATGCATTTTTCTACCCACACTCCCCTTTAATTGGGACACGTTCGAAAAAGAAAGTTTCCGACATTAAAGGGAAGGCATGCCAAATTATGGTTTATCCTTTATATCTGGATCCTTACATTGATGAAATATTGCATACAATGAACGAGAATCTTGTTTTACCACAAGACGATGAGCTCATGTCTTGGGTATCCGAACTTATCGCCACCGGGGACTATCCTGCAGTCCCGCAAGTACAGAAGTATCCGAATCCATGCCTATACAAAGATGTGTTGTTACTTGTAAGTTCCAAGAATTCATGATAAATGATAACAATCTCATGAATATCTAGATACCAACGGAGAAACTGCCAGATTGTCCACAGAAACTTCTGGATGCCACAGGTGTTAAGGTTTTGACTGTTTGTATTATTCTGCTGAGACGTGATGGCAGAGCCGTATTATTTCGGTCTCCCGATATCAATCGAGACTCGCACTATAAGTGAATAACTCTACTATCACGAAGAGTATCCATACCAACCTCCATATATATCACATTTGCATTCAGCGACGCCACGCGAGGATTGAGGGCTTTTCAATGGAAGCATTCGGTAAAATATGTATCGCCCTTTATCTCTCAATTCTGGGCTTGCTCCCGATTGCGAACTAGAGGAGGGTTTAGATTTCTTGGCATAATGGGAATGGAATCAACATCATAACCCTTTTTACTACTACGAAATTATAATTTATACCCTTCTAACCAAAATTCCTTGATTTCCTAGAAGAAAACCTCGACCTAATTGTTGCTATCATGTAGCTGTGTAGCACATGTGCCTCTCAAACTAACCTAATCTCCTGCTCGATCTCAGCTATACTTGAAGTCTCTCCGTCCTCTTTCAAGCCCTTCATATATCCGCTACCAACAAGCCTATACCTCTTACGTTCATGATCCTCTCCATTGACATCGTCGCTCATATCACGAAGGATAAACTCTTGTTGTGCTGGGTCTACTTTCTCTTTTGCTCCACTTCCTTATTTGATCCACTTATAGTTCTGCTGCCTAAATGCTTCATGTCTGCCTAAACCTTACACTCTTTATATAAACACCTTAGATAGCTACCTTTTACAATGCAATCAATTCTCCATGACCTTCAGTACCCAATACCCTTTCAACCCAATAACTCTGAATCACACCCATCAAATATAGCCACCAAATCTCCAACCTCACTCCTATAAGGGACTAATCCCACGCGTCCATTCCTCGTAATACAAAATCGCTTATACGCAGTGGTTTGGAATGCCATTTGAAGAAACTGATTAAACATTCTCGATTCCTCAGGCGAACTGCAATCTACCACCAGTAGTTTGCCCCTCTCGAGATCTGCCATTTTACTTCCCCACGTTTTCATTAGGCCAAGAAAGGCACCGAAGCCAATTCTGAGACCTCTCGTTTCGGCGCTGTCGGTGGCTTCAAAAGTGATCTCCTTTTGAACTAGAACTCGGAATATAAGATCAAATACTCCATCCACTGATTGTGCTTTCGGGTAGTTACTGAGAACGAGAATGAAGGCTTTCACAAGGCCGCGGACGATGTCGATAAGTTTTGACCCGGGGGGAGCTGCGCTTGAAGTTTCCGTAGGAATTTGATTGAAAGGCTGGCTAATATGGCTAATTGAGTCGGTGAGAATACCGTGGATGAGGAGGTTATTGTTGGGGAGTATTTGTGCATTTTTGGTTCGCTTTGAAGACTTGTTCTCAAGTGATGGAAGGGTCCCTGTTGTTTGGGAAGAAGTGGCCCAGTTCTGTGTGTTCGTCTCGTTAGTATTTGAATTGAGCTTCCTTTAATGGAATGGCCATTTGAACTACCGGAACCCATGAAGGTAAACTCATCTCGCAAGAACCCAAACCGGCTTGGAGTAGGACTTCAAACACATGACCTCTCTCAATAAAACCCTTCGCAAATCGCGTGAATACCTTCGCTGGCGTTTCATCATGAGCATAGCTAATATGCTCCGCGAATTCGTCTCCATCCTTCGCTACTCCCAATAGAGCATATATCTTATCTCTGGGATCTGTCGCATCAAAGCTCCGTATACGTCTCAGCTTCTCGATCGACCCTTGTGCCAAATCCTCTTCCCTGGCTAGAACTCTCTCCATAAACATCATCCCAAGCCCTAAACCACCAGTTGTAGCCAAGCGTGACAAATCTTCTGGATCATCTTCATGCGAGTGCCCTAGGTAATGCGCGTTGAAAGCGCCACTGTGCTCTTTGACAAAATGATAAGCTACAATAACGGGCTCCATATCAAGAATTTTGCTACCTATACAGAACCCTAGCTTACTCGCCAGTGCAAATTCTTGCAAGATCCAAACCCGTCGAAAATATGGGGATGCGAAAAATCGACGCCAGGAAGCCCAGAGTGGACTGTCGACTGGAGGGAGACCGAAATCCTCGAGGAATTGGGCGTTTTCTGGTAATGTTCTGAGTTTTTGTTGGATATGAGCTTCTTCTCTGATACTGTGAACAGAGTCAAGGTTCCCCTTAGTTTCTATATCGACCATGGTCGGTTTAAGATCAGGTATTGGTATCAAACTTATTTCTTCATTCCTACCTCCGGTTTGACTGTGGAGTTTCTCTTCTCCCTCAACTTCCAATTTCGCTTTCACGCTCTCTTTTCTTTTACTGGCCTCTTCGAGTTTCCTTTTCGAACCCCAGATCTGCGAAACCAGCTCCGGAATATTCTCCTGGTCCACCTCATTCAACGGTACATACGCAACAACCTTCTCAGCTTGTCTATAAACTCGTTTCATGAGTCCAATTTGCGATATCTTTTCCTCAAAATCTTGTTGGTTGATACAAATTGCATCAATCCACAAACACTTTCCCTTGATCCTGTTCCTCAACGACTTCAATGCCCCGTACAAGTTCCGGGTCACAGCAAATCTGTCACCATCGAGATTGATATACTCCGGGTTGTCAGTACTTCCCCAAACGTAGGAAAGTGCTGTGTAGCGTTGAAAGGGATGCATAGGTGTCGAATCATTGTCATCATCAAAGTAGATACCAATAGGAAGGATGAACTCGCGCTCGGTGTCAAAAGTTGTTTTTCCACGGGCGACGGAGATGGAATCTGTTGGTCGTGGCGTTGTAGATGGAGATAATTTATGGTCTGCATCAAGGTTTATAGGGAGAAGCCAGGCGTGGATTTCATCTTCTGGGGTCCTGGAGCGAGAAGAAGAACACGGATTGAGGTTTTTGTTGGGAGAGGGGTGTATATTGAGGGAATTTCCGAGGCCATTTCTTGGTGAGTTTGACCTAGGGAGCTGTATCGGAGGTATTCTTATAAGCCGCTGCCACTAAGCAAAATGTATCGGGCAGTCTTCGCTAACTTGGTGTATATTTTCTCTGAATGATCTTTCACTTCGACTCCTGGCTTGACCTTTCTCAAATGTCAATGCCGTGTTGTGTGCTGAGTCATATGTAAGATTTACGATCCCACGAATCGAACCGCTCAGAAACCCCCCCGGGTGTAGATCTAATCTAAAACCCCAGATCCGACAAGATGAGCTTGCCAAGAAATTATGGAGCTTTGTTTGTTATGGGGCTCGTTTGCTATGTCAGAGTAGGCAATAGCTCGTCATGAGAGTTTGAGCACATAAATATAGAATGAATTAGAATATAAAATACTATGTATCAATTAGAGTATATAATGCTGTCACAAAACAAGGTTCTAAGTCCTCAAAGTATTAACGTCTTGTAGAATGATCAACCAAGAGGTTAGAATACAAAGTTCTTGTGTCTGGACCGTTTTTCGACCTCAACTCCAGTACTCTGTGAAGACTTTATGTGGCGAGCGCTCGATAGGTGCTTGAGCCTTGTATATTTCTTTCTTGAATAATAAGCAAAGGTTAATGCTTTATTTGAGACATCAAATACGACCTTGGTTTACTATAACATAGTAGTCATAATATTTATGTAGCCGACACATTTAACTCATACTAGAATAGCAGAGGATTTCCGCCAAAATCTCATGCCAGAATACTGCTCCTGTACCTGTATCATAGTACTAAATGGCAAGCCATGATAACCACCACATTTCGTATATCCTAAAAAATGCAGAACAGAATCTCTAAGAATAATATACCACTGTAAGAGACTATAACACAACAAGACGGGATTTTAGAACTGCATAGGAATTATGATGTAGTGATTTTTGTATTAAGATGTTAGTTAAAGATTATATAAGTTAAGAAGAAGGAAAGAAGAAGTGGTACTTAGTACCAGTCTCGTGGAAGCCCCCTCCAGCTGCCATTCAATGCCCTTTATACAATATTTGGATATATTCCGCCTTACAAAATGCCCGCCTTGGAACCTTTTATCTATTTTCACAATATAAACCTTGCGATATCGTGAACTTCTACCTCAAAAATGTGACAAGAAATGCAACGAGTTTACCATGGAACCCTCCTTCACCCATTTCGTAATGCAGTTTCGATCATCATGCCGCCTTATCACTACAACAGTAGCCTCTTGGTTCGACTTCCTGCAGAAAACAAAATGGCGCATCATCAGCCACCAGAGAAAAAGGTGTTTCTCATCGCTTTGAAGGTCGAAGGTGTATCGGGTGATACCAATTCTGCAGGCTCCTTTTTGGGATGGCTGCTATCCGCCTCCAATTCATATTTTGGAGATTCGGGAATCGCTCGGGGAAGCTGATTAAACACTTGAGCAACGTTCGGGGTTGCTGGCGTGAAAGATCCGGTCTAATGAAAATAGTCAGAAACATTTTTTCTAGGATGACAAGAGGATGTACTCACACCTGAAGCCGTTGGTATCTTTTTGACATATCCAACGCCCTTCGACGCATCAGCCCAGGCCAAAATAATATTTTCCTCGTCGGATAGAGTCATGAATGACATTGCGAAAGATTCCGACTTTGCCGTCAACTCTCTTGAAGTCGCAATCTTTTTGATATCCATCGGGGCAGAATTGAGGTTAGATATCTTGTATAAATCCCCCTTGTTATTGACCAAACCCAGCTCCCTTCCGCTTTGAGAAAACGCAGCTGTCTGTATGCGGTTTCCCAGGCGAGTTTGGCGATTTGAGATTTCCGTCCTTATATCCGTTCGATTGCCATCTTGAGGTTGCACAAGTATCGGTGTTCCTGATTGGGTCCAACTGGTAAGACAAATCAAATTATCTTCACCTCCCGATCCAGATCGATAAATTGCTGATGATATCCCACCATCTTCAGACTCATGTAATGGTACCTGATATCGGCATGTAGAGACCTCTTCGAAAGTCAAGAAGGGGAATCGCCAAAGGTAAACCTGAATCATTCCACTTTTAGGGCTCCTGGTACTCGCAAGAAGGACAAGGCCATCATTTGAAAATGCCACAGTCTCGACTGGCTGACACTCTTTACATTCGGTATGATAGCGAATGTGTAAGTGATCTTCTCTGGGTTCCTGAGAGTTGTTGGTCGAGAATAGTCGAACAGTTGAGTTATCAAATCCAACGACGACATAGTTTTCTTTGGGACAAATGACTATACTTCGACACCAGAGTGCAGAAGGCATTCTATAATCTACCGCTGAAACATTAGGCTGAAGAAGATTCACAATTCGTAGCTGGAAAGAGAATTAGCACCAGTGGCAGACAGCTACATCCAAATGTATCACCTACCGTGAGCTTCTGACCCCGAGTACCCATTATGTAAGCTAAATGCATTTTGGTGACCGCTGCTAAGACACAGGTGCTCTCAGTTGCGATGGCTCTTCCCAGTACGGGCGGGGACAAGCCAATATCCCATACATAGACTGAGGAGTGATTCCAAAAAAGCGCGTACGTCGAGTTTTGAGATAGCGACACGTTGATATGAATTTTGCCACCTTTACCTCTTGCCCTAATTTTGGGTGGGTTTATCAGCTCTTTGAGCGAGATTTCCTCAAGTTTCTGGCCTTCGAGGGTCGACGAAGAAAGAGAGCTTGTATCTACGGAGCCCACAGTCGATTCTCTCCGAGAACCGAATTTCGGTCTCCATTTGGACTTGCCTTTATCAGGCGGTGCAACCAATGGAATTGTTCGGCTCCGCGAAGGGAGAACCGGTTCAAAAGAAACTGATGAGCCTGACTGATCGACCCGACTCTGACTAGGTCCAGAACTCGACATTATACCAGGGGAAAGCGGACCAGGGGAGAGCGGACCTGGCGATACCACTGAGTCCGATCGTTGTGGGTTGGTTTGTAGGGTTTCCTTGCCATAACCAGAGTCAGACAAGTCATATCGAGATGTATCTGAGGGCAATCGGAACCCAGGGGATACGGGTGTTGACAATAATGTGGGTGGTATGATGCGGAAACGTTCAGGAGAGGGGTGGCGTGGAGAGGTAGCGTGACCACTGGCAAGAATGCTGCTGTAAGATGCATTGAAGAGCATCCCTGTCTCCAATTTTGGTGGGGAGAGTTGGAATTGCGTGGGCAAATGTCTTTCCACGTTGATCGTATCGGCGTTCGGCTCAAGTGGCTTCAAAGTTTCCCATGTTTGTCTTATTGTTGAGATTTCTCTCATTATAGTTATTGGCTCTCCACAAGCAGCGCAAGTTGATTCGGCAGGTAATTTTATTTCCGAATTTTCTTCCAAATCAGACTATCAAGAATATGTATTAGCAAACTCTGTCTGCGCTTGAGTTACGGTTGTCGATTTGCGTACCGCTGTAACGTCGAGAGTGTGTTAAGTTTGGCGCGGAGAGAGTTGAAAGAATAAAAAAAATGGGATTTGCATTTTTCCAATCCTTTCCAGACTTTTTCTATTGCTTTCCCTAACCTTTTCACTTGATATCTGGTAAAGATGTTGTCTTAAGACCGCCATTTTCTTGGGCGCTTGCCACAGGCGCAAGGCTATTTGCAAGGAACATTGGAAAGAAGAAGCGGATTATGTGACGTACTGGAAATCTTGTATACCCCAAGTTCTGAAGATGTGTATCTCCAAACATATGACAGCTCCCACAGTTTACAGCATATAACCTTGGACGTGCGGCTCTAAATAGGCCACTGGGATCATCAAGAAGGGCAATATTCCGACTGATTTCTGACATTGCATGCATCATCTCCCGATCACTAACTCGAGCTATCACTTGTCTATCCCCAAGCTTGGTACACAGAGTATCTATAGCGTCGATTTCAGTCTCATCTGGATGGGGGTTTGTCGAAATTCGTCTTATGAGACTCGGAGTCTCAGGTAGAATGACCCTGAATATCTCGCTAAAAGTGGATATCAAATCTGATTTTGATAATTGCCCGGGTATCCGCATGTTATCGAGAGCAAGCAAAATCGCATTGCGCGACCTCGCCGAGGAGGCCTGCAGGCGAACATCTCGAGTCTCCCTATTGACTTTATATTGAACAGAAGCTGCAACCACGAAGTGGGATATATCTCGAAGAGCCAGAAACTGTACTAGCCAGTCGCCTTGAAACCCGTTCGGTGTCACTAAAGATGAAATGAAGTGTGATGAAAGGCAATCAGGAAGAGGATACTTGGTTTTGGAAAGTTAGTTAGTTTAGCACAAAGAGGACGACCGAAAAAAAGTAGATTTTAAACATACCAACTCCGAAGCCAAATTAGGCATCTCATATTTCAAGCCTGAAGGGAGTCCAAGTGATTCTGGGTCGGTTCGCAAAGAATCGGTGCACTCCTTACACACCAACAGAAGAAATGATTTATCCCCTCCATAACTGTCAAACACACGTTCCAGAGACCGATGGATACGGCTGAAGCGATCTCGTCGATCCTTGGCTCGTTGGTTTGCTGGTGCTTTCGGGTGTAGTGTAAGAACTCGGAGGGCAGAGAGCAGAAATTCGGCCAGGTATTTATTTCTCAAAACCTCCACCTCCCATAAGCTTTCTCGCCCTTCTACCACCGTCTGAAGAACAAATTCTATAGTTCGCAGAGAAACTTCCCAAGAAACTAGGAATCCTAGATACCACCCGACCTGCAAGTTCTCGGAGGGCAGTGAAAGGCGTTGTATGTGAAATATCGCGTTGAGTTGGGCAATCAATGTAATCACCAAGTGTTGATAAGTTTCCTTGTCGCCCTCTGAATAAATTTTCTCAAGAGAAAATTGGCCCAGAAGCTCTAGAATGATGCTGTCGATATCGCTCCGAAGTGATAAAAGCTTCCACGAATTCGTGAGTCTTAAAAAGAGTGACGATGCGGCTGGAGGGGGCGCCGCCATTGCTGGCTGCGGGGAATTTTGCGGCCAGGGTTGGCTTCGATGCCGGGCCACATCGGCGGTCTGCTTAACGTCTGAGACGCTCTTTTTTCACAGTCTTAAGTAAGTTCAAGTTCGACAGAGCAGAGGTTAGATAGTTGTAGCAATTTTCCCCGTTAGTAACTGAAAAGCCGTCCCGTTCATGACGAAGGCAGCCGCCGTTAACTAGCGCCAAAATGCCGGGTTGGAGGGTGGGCTATGAAGGGGATGCGGACCCTGTGTGGCTGCAATCCCTCGTGTGAACAGGGGGGCAAGACAGCCAGAAGAGTCTATAGGTTCCCCGAACAGCTACGGCGGTGTTCTAATACAGAAAGACCGCTCAGTCCTCCGTATGGTGTCATGCTGAAGTTCCACTACTAGCCTTGTCCTGGGTGGTGTAGAACATTGCTAGCTACCTACAGAAGCAGAAATTATATACAACCAACCTAGCAATAGCTTCGTGGATGATCCATGGAAAGACACCGAGCTACCTTTTTGGCAACGCTTTTAGGATTCGCTCTGTGTTGTGAGGATCGAGGGAGATTGCACATCTCGGTTGCACTTATTGTACAAGATGTCAAAAACTTGCCGGCGATACTTTGTACAAACAAGGCAGGCTACTTATACAAGTATCACAAGACACCACAGCTATAATCTGACAGTATCTCGGTTTTCATGTTTCTCGAGTCCAAAGCTATGAGACCATTAGACTTTAAATTTGCCTCTAGCCCACTGATTTCTCGCTCGGTAAGCATTGCTGCATTCTGTATATTGATATATCCTGCACCGGTTCCTGAGCGCAAGATCATGATCTCGTACGCGCTTCGCTTCGCGAATTGGGAGCATACAAGTAGGCGAAGGATAAGGTCTTGGTTGTTGACTTAGAGGGTTCTCTCATACGCTGGGAGAGGCGTTCGTTCATTCAGGGGCCCTAGCCGTTGTAAAGCTTGGCAGCCGAGCCTCGGGCCACTCACAAAAGGGGGTCGCTTTAGAAGACGGATAGAGGACGGAAAGAGCCGAATCGGGCACAGCTGGTCTCACTAGTCACACAGCTTAAAAACAACCTTGAAAATCCTGGGGCCAAAACACCACTCTCACCCGGCAAAATCCAACCATGCAGGGCAAACGGAGACATCGCATCCTCTCTTGTTCATAGATGATCTTATCTACAGAGTAGGGAGCAGCTTCAGCTATACGTTCTGGTCAGTCGCTTCCTGCATGCAGTACCTCTTTCGATACCTACAGTACGTGATCGTCCTAATACGGCAAATGCAGGCATTGCCATTATCGAATTCGTTATCTCTCCGAGTACTCAGTCTAGTCTTCTATGGCCTGGCTTTGCTCGGTCGCCAGGCATGTCTCCGAGTTGCATCAGTTGTCTTTCCTCGCCCCTCTCCTGACCACACTCCGGTCCTGTGTGAGCACCGGGGACCTCCATCTCGATCGCTCCTGTATGGATGCCGTCCCCAAATATGATAGGAATGAGGTGCAGCCACATAATATTGTTTCCGTGTAACAGATCACTCGTAGGGATCATTCTATGGCGTACAGACCATGCTTTGATTTTCCCCGGTCTTACTGTAGTACAGCTTTGGACGCTCAGGGCTCTGGTCAGGGCTGTGCCTTTGGGGCGCACCCGTTAATATATCCTTGACCGTCACCAAGGGGCTGCTGCTTGGGGGGGTGTCGATCTTATAGCACGCCCGATTTCTTCCACCTACTTGTATCTCGCTCAAGGTCCGCCAGACGGGGTCGTGAATTTGACAACATCGTAATCACCATGATGGATCACGAAAAGCCCCAGGCGGTTTACCCGCAAGTCTTCGAGCACGAATTTGAGGGCGCCCCGAGTCAATCAACAGCAAGCCCTGAACCGATAATGCGAGCCCCCTCTATCGATGAACCTGCTTATGTGGAGGACCGCAAGGAGATACGTGGGGAAGCTTTGTGGTAAGAGCACTGTAGAATATTTGTACTGCAAATCCGGCTTACATAGGTATGCAGGAGAGTTCTCAAGGAAAGGCATATCAACATGATAGCCTTCTCCGGAACCATTGGTAATGGGCTGTTTTTGGGTTCTGGGCGATCATTAGCATCGGCGGGTCCTGGGGGAGCAGTTCTCGCTTACGTCCTTGTGGGTGCCGTCATTTCATCGGTCATAAGTTGTATAGGTGAAATGACTGCTTTAATGCCTGTTAATGCCCCAGTCATGGAGTTTCCAAGACGTTATCTCGACCGAGGGGTTGGTTTTGCCGTTGGGTGGGTATATTGGTTTGCCTACGCCATCCTCGCAGCCGATGAACTTGTGGCCGTAGCAAATACGGTCGCTTTCAAATACGACGATGGAAGAACGTATTTGAATTGGAAAACTGGAGGCGAAGTGGACCCAGCCGTCTGGATTGCCTTGTTTCTGGTTATAGTTGTCTGTCTGAATATGCTTCCGGTGAAGGTAATTCCCTCAATTCTTTGAGCCAATTTGAAATTCATTAATTCCGATAGTACTTTGGCGAATTTGAGTATCTTTTCGGCTCCTTCAAGTTGGCTTTTATCGTTATGCTTATTGTGCTGATGCTATGTCTGGACACTATCCAACGTTTGTCTCACCTGATCTCATGAAGATTTCTACATTTTTACTGACGTGTTCCAGCACGCAAGGATGCATACTATGACCAAGTTTTAGGACCCAAGTGTAAGTGTTTGATAATAGTTATGGGTTTTCACTCGAAGAAATCCTAATGGCTAACATCCTCAGATTGGAAAATGCCTTATTCCTTCTTCAAGCATCATTATCCCGTCAAAGGCAAAGATGGAAACACCCAGCGTGTTATTGAGGGCCAAGTCGGCACCTTTCTGGCTGTATGGTTAGTTTAAAAAAGATTACAGCTTCTTCTCCTCGCCGTCTAACATTTAAAGGACCGCGTTTGTGAGAATAATGTTTGCATATGTGGGAATGGATATCGTCGTAGCAACAGCCTCAGAATCTACCTCGCTCCCGGATGCCGAGTCGATGAAAATGGCTGCCCGAAAAATCAACATCCGCATCGTCACTCTGTACTGCATCGCCGTTCTCTCGGCTTCTTTTATGGTTCCGATGAACCATCCTTTCATCAATGGGGGTGGACAATCTGTTGGAGCTCACTCAATCTTCGTGATCGCTGTTGTCGAAGCGGGAATACCTATGGCAGCTCATTTTTTCAATGCGGTCTTCGTATTTTCTTCTTTCACCTGTGCGATCAATTCCATGTATGTGGCAAGTCGAGTTCTACATACGTTAGCTTTGAGAGAGCAGACTGGTCCGGATTTCATCACACAGCGCCTGCAACAAACAAGGTCTGGAGTTCCCGTAAGAGCTGTGCTTTTTACTGGAGTTATGATGTTGATAGCGTTCATGGGGAGAACTGGAGCACCAGGTGATGTAAGTCATCCCGATTTCCCTCCAAAAGAAATGGCTTGCCAATACCTTAACAGAGATTGAGCGAACTGGCTTCAAATTGTACTGTTTCTTGCCTGATTGTTTATGCTGTAATATGCGCAACTTATATGTCATTTTACAAAACGTAAGTCCTCAAATCTCCAATCGCCGCTCACTTCACTGAACATAAACGCAGACTGGAAGACGCAAAACTATACGGGAATGCCTCAGAGGCTCAAACAGCTTGTTATGACAGAGACAATCCACGATACCCGTATAAGTCACATGGTCAATGGCTGAAAGCATTCTGCGGTCTTGTCTCCTGTGTTCTACTAGTAACTTTCAATGATGTGGGAGTATTTTTGGTGAGGCCATTTGATACAAGACGCTTTATTTCTTCTTATATCAGTGTAAGATCCTCCTCATCCTGAAGCTCACGGAGTATTGGCTGATCAGAATAGGTGCCCATTTTCATCGTCCTCCTCCTTGGATACAAAATACGCAAACACGGACTACGGTTCTCACAATGGGGTCCAGAACGTTCTGACGATTTACGAAACTGCATCCAAACATCAAGCGAGGTCCGAAAAGGAAGATTGGAATTTCCAGACGAAGGGCCTACCAGAAGAAATGGAGGCGTATTTTTGAAGTGGCTTTGGGTATGGACCAAATAAGGACAGAGATTTAAAATGTTACATATGTATGATGCAAGACTTATGATAGACGGCTCTAGCGAGGAAGGATTCTTTTTGGATATGCTTTTAAATATGCAAGCTAACATATTGGGTTTTAATGAGTATCTATGAAGGTGGGCTGGCAGCTGAATTCAAGATTGTATTGGTCTTCTTCCACGTGTGTTCTGTCCCAAGAAACCTCCCATGCAAACGGGCCGGCCGCCCGTTTAGAAGGCCCTGTTTTCATTTCGACAGATGGGAATAGGATCAAGATACCCACCTTCCTCTCTAACCAATACCTGTTACCACTCACACCAGCCCCCACCCTTCATCCGGCACCCATCATGAAAAACGCCCAAATATTATGGCAACAACTACCGCTCCGAGCCCATACAGTTCATCTACTCGCGCATAACTGCAAGAAATCGGATGGATTATGGGTGATCATGGCAGGAACAACAACATAATCTGACAAACAACCCTAGCTAGCATAACCCGCTGCCGCTCAAAACGCCTCCCTTCCCGACCGTTTAATTCGTAACACCTGATACCTGCAGCTACAGTCTGCTGCGGTGGGTGTTGTATTGTGTTGGAGGTGTTTGATTCGAGGAAAGACGAAGGACGTTAGGCTTCCACTCCGAAAGCTTGCATATTTATGCATGATAGGTAGATCGAACCAATCAGCACATGACATAACAAGCACACCAAGCAAAGTGCTAATCCCTCCAATTTCCCTCTTATCACTTCCATTATTATCTTTTATGCTAGCTACTGCTGAATTCAGCCCTGTGCATGATAGTCGAAAATCCTTCGCAGCGAAACCCGTCAGCTAGGGCGAAGAGGAAGGGATTTGCCATGTGGGAGAGCGTGGGGTGGCTTTAAAGAGGGATTTATTGCTAGGACGAACTATATAGATCGCGTGCACCTCGAGGGTTGAGAAAAGGGGCGGGGGGCGTGTCTTGGATGTTGAGAAACAAATGTATATCTGCACAACGATGAGTAATCTATCAGTGGCCTGTATCGAATCGGAAGTAGAGACATGCTACCTAAACTGTCTTTCCAATCTCAGTAGGAGCAGATACCTGCAAAATCCTCCCGCAAACGAGAGGGGCTAGTTATACTCGAAAGCTAAATCATATATATGATTACTTGATCCCGTTATTTAGCATTACTCTACTCAAACGCATGGGCATTTACCGAAGTAGTGCAGGAGAGACTGATTTGACGGGCTGTAGGGCTGTCAAGCCACATCAGTTCCCAGGCTTGATATTACGACGAATCAGGGGAACTTGAATAGTTTTCACGTGCCTTTACTCAACGATAGTATTGGCACAAAAAGTAGAAAATAGACAAGTAATCCTTTGGCACAACTAGGCATGGTTCAGCAGCGAGGCAAATTCTTACTATCCTTCCATCCTCTAAAAATCTAGAACAAATAAAATCAGTCCCGCGACCCTTATTATCAAAGGAGTAGACCTGTGGAAACAATATAAGTGAATGCTACTTAAAAGCTTCAATTGCTACGCTAGTATGTATATATTCGGCACCTAGGGCAACCTATTAAAAAACATGAAAGAATTTCTTTGGTATATATGGTACTACAACATCGCTGGAGAGAGGACAGAGTCCACAGCCTATTGGGAACACGATGGATTTTTCGGCATTCTCAAAGCAGGTCATGTATGCAAATCCTTAGCTTAGCGCCCATATACCCTTTAGAAGGTCTACCTTGCAGTTGCTCGCACCAGACAGCTATATATATCCCGGCAAAGAGGTGATGTCGTACGTAAAAACCACTGCCATTACTTCGTAAGATTATACACTGCAGATAATTATTTAACAAAATTTGGGACAAGTTGCTTGATTGTCCTGGTATCTAGGTTACTCGAATAGTGAAGAGTAAAAAGTAACGCGTATTCCTAACTATTCGTATAGCTATTTTAGTTGTCCGAGACTTCCAGTAATAAGGATAAAATTATTAGTGTATATGTGTAAAGAGAAATGTAAACGCCTCTTACATCATATCGTAATACACCCTTTGTATAGATAGATACGGGGTCTCCTCCGTGGTCTTTGCCCCTTAGCAAGAGACCTTTATATTCCATGAGCCGCTAATCCTAACGCGTCTTTGTTTAATAGAGAATTAGAAAGCATTATAGTTTTAACTTGAATACAGTAATATACACAATTAAGAGATCCTTAAGTTCATAGAAGTTATATATATAACTAAATAAAAATGTGTTGATAGGATTTACTAAGAACCACTCCACCCGCCCAAATGCATTCCTCATGGGACAAGGAACGCGGAGGAGATAGGGACAGAAAGACGAATACACAACTGTCCTTCCCGTAAAATCCACTCTAAATTGTGCTACGGATTATACTAAGAAAAACCATCGGGCATAATCATCTGTAACGTGTTCATTTTTAACATCTAGTTAAAGCCGGTAAAGCTAGCAGGAGCCTCTATGTCTCCAGGATTATTCTCAGGCATTCGAGTGCGCCAAATTGGCGAAACTTCATTTCATCCAATATAGATAGGGAGATGTAAAGATAAGATTCACAAAATTTACAAACTGCAACCACACCCAAAGGAAAAGATATATAGACCAACCCGTAAAAGGAACCAATCCAGTCGGGTATATAACCTCTAATCCCGAACAAAAAGAAATCAAGTACATTTCATCATTATCATCGATCAATCCAACCCTTTTTCTCTAGAAAAAGAAAAAAGAGTAGAAAGGAGAACAAAACCCAACGCAAATCACCGCCAAAAGATAGATCGTCTTTCCCATATATGTATGAATATTCTCCTCTTTAAATCCCGAAGAGGGTTTTGTCCGTCGTGATTCGTGAAGTCGTCATTTCGTTCATTGTCATTTATTTCTTGACCACGAGGCCCTTGAACACGTCATCGTGGTGCTTATTTAGCTTCTCGCCTATTCCGATTTAGCAAATTCCCAATATTCACCCCGCCCCCTTTGCATCATGTAAACCCCCTTCGCAGGCGAAGAGCGTGTAGCGAGTATAGAAAAGGGGGAAGGACAACGACGAAGAACTTACAAAAGTCACAATAGGTTTCTCTCAACCTAACAAACATCCTCTCCAACGCCCTATCGTCTTCCAGCGCCGCGTTGCTTCTTCCCCCCGGAGACTTGTTGGTCTCCCCAACCCATGTGGTGGTCAGTGGTGTATTCGCATCTCGACAGAGGATTCCGTATGCGATGGTAAGACGCCGATACATGAACGTTGATTGTTCGAGTCTTTCGCGATGTACTTTGTTTCATATTAGTTTCTGGGTCACAACAAGAGATAGAATGAAAGGAGGAGAAAGGCGGAGAGACATACACAGCTTCTGCTTCGGTAAGCTCAACCGGATCTCATCCCTGATCGCACGATCCCTATACAGCAAGAGTAGCCTCATCAAACACATTCCTCCTACGATCCGAGCATGTTTATCCGATCCTATGAGTTTGGCAAAACTGTCAATCTGCGAGAATACCGCGCCTTCGAGTTTTTCCAATTCCGCCGCCGCAATGAGTCGTACTTGGTCGTGGAGAGTTGGTGAGACGTAGCTCCATTCTGCTTTTGCGCCCGCTGGTTTTTCGTGAAGGAGGTTGTAAGACCCGTCTCGTAGGTCTAGAGAGCCGTAAGGGACGAGGCCGTTGAGACCAACTACTTTGAGGGTGGAGTCTACAAATTGTCGCTATGAAGCTGTCAGCTGGGTGACTAATACTTTGGACTCGGAGGAGTTAGGGAAAGGGAGTAATCTTACGAGCTTGGAATTCGATGATCGTTTCTGTCGGCAATATGCATCGAGGAAAGAAGTTATTCGCCCGGTGATTTGCCCAGAGTGGGTTCCGTCTGATATCGATAGCACGTCTCGGGCGAAATTTGCCACGTCGTCTATGGATATTGAATCTGGAACAACGGCAAATGATGGGGCATAAACGGAATGTTGGGTTACGTATATCCCTTTTACTTTCCCTAAGCCTTTCCACCGACAACGAAGATCCGAGGTACATTGTCGGACGCGGAGTGGTAATACTGCAGTTCGATTGCCCATCTCGGGTGAGGACTTTACCGATAGATTGATTTGTATGGTTTGGCCGGATAATGAGCTTAGGAGGGGTGCGAGACCTTCCCTTCGAGAATCGAGGGTTCCGAATATGGCTGTTGAGGTTAGCGAGTCAAAGCCTAGAGAGTAAGATGATTACATTTTACACCACAGTATGAATCTATCAATTTTGTTCGTAAACAGATGACTTTCGCCAATTGCATATTATTGCAAGCAGCCTTTAAGCAATGCTTACAAATCCCCTCGGTGGAGCACTACATGAAGTTATTAAAAGCAAATGGAGCACGCGGGGAAGAGAAGGTAGTCTTACAGGAGTTTTGCGAGACCGACATGAGACACACGCTCCATTAGTTCGAACCTGTCGAACCTTCTGCGCAGCATCTGGGCCGAATTTTGTTCTCTTCCGTTTCCGTGCCTCAGTAGGGCTGCTCTCAAAATTACTCAAGCAGTCGTCTAGTTTCAAGGATGAGTTGTTTGGCGGAGGCGAGAGTTCGTCACCTCCTCTTGCTCTCGCAGGAACTGTAACTTGCATGACGCTCATGAACTGATCATACTGCTGAGGTGACGATGAGTCCTTGCTTTCAGTGGAAGGTGATTCTTGTGTCGTTTCTACGGGGTGCGGAGTTTCCCGAGGAAGATTTGCCTCCCCTTTCATATGATTTTGAGTTACTTGAGTTGGAACCCATGAAGAACTATCGAGGTTGATAAGGCTTGCTGAAAGTTGATCCCCCCAATTGGATTGAATAGTGTGAGGCGATATATTCGTATCCAAGCTTAACATTGTATTTGTATCGATCGTCTGGCTTGTCTGGCAAAATGTACCATCAAATGTAGACAGGCCATCAAGTCCTGAATCCGGACCCAACGCCCACGAGGTGTCGGTTTGAACTGAAGAAAACTGAAAGTTTGCCAATCCAACAAAATCATCTTCCTGTTTGACCGCATCGATATTCTCGTATTCCTCGGTTCCTACATATGGGTTTCGTGTGATCGATGTCGCTCGTGATCGTGTTTCGGGGGTGTGTAAAGCAGATATACAGGTTACCGAGGTCGTTGAAAGCTCATATGTGCCAGCTCCGGTGCCTTCATAATAGAGATCCGGGGGAGCAGAAACATTCTGACTGTGGTATTGATCACCATGCGAGGCGAAAAAATCTGGGAATGAAGCATTGGATACCTCGTTGGACAGAATGTTGGTATTGTTCTCTACAAAACCGAATGATCCGTCAAAGTATGCCCCATTCGAAACTGGGTCCGATATCGAGCCGTAGGTCTGCTGAGGCTCCGTATTGCCATCGTCAAGTTGAAATGAGAAGGTCGGGGCGTTCGGGATTGATTGACGCCGTATAATATTTCCGTAACTATCAATCGGCTCAATCGGTGTATATGAATGGCACTGCGCTTCAAGGTTTGGCGCAAAGTTCGATTCATCCTCCGCTATTTCACGCACTGAGCAGTCATAGGTCGTCTTCTGGTCCTGACTTGGCTGAACAAAGTTTGGCATGCAGTTCCCTGTGCCGATCGAGTCTTGTTGTTGATATTGGCTTCCCCACCGGGAGTCGGAATAAGGTCTAGGCATTGGTTGGGAGAACATCATGTCTATGATGCCTGGTGACCTTTTTGAATTGGACGAGTATAGGTCAGGACCGTTGTTCTGCAGAGCTGCAACTGGCCCCGAGGACCATGCCATTACTGTCTTATTATGAGCTTCGATACCTGCAGCAGCTGCTCACAAATCCGGTGTCGCCGTGCTGTTGGAATGTCTCCGTACAAATGCTGGTGCCTCAGAAGGCAGATAAATGCTTTTCAACTTCGATAGGTTTGGGCAGCACAGCGCAGCTAGGTTTTGTTGTTCTATGCAAAGAGCGAGATGTTCGAAAAGACCAAAGCTGAGGTTCCGATGGATCGGTATGGTAAGTTGTACAAGCGTTGGTCGAGTTCTATTTCCAGCCTTGCAACCAGGTCAAGTCCTCACTCGTCTTCACAAACCGGCTATATCACGAGATCTCAATCAGGCGCGCGCTTGAAGGTGCAGTAAGCTTCGATTGTGAGAGCCAGATCCTGGAGGAGTGAGCTACTGATGCAGTATGTACAGGTTAGAAAGATATGGTGTTGAAAAAAGTGTAGACTCGATGGAGAAAATAGACTACCATCATCTCCCCACTGGCTGCTGCGGGGTGGGAACAACTGGGCGCAGGATAATCATCTAGATCGGGCACTTTGAGGCTCCGTACATGTACATGCCCATCTGGTCATTACGGGCCGGGCTACGCCCTGGGAGCTGGAACAAATCATATCAACATATGAACGATGATTGGTGCTCGTACGATATCACATCGTGCAGGGTGGATCATCGAACACAAGATGAATCTATCCACACAGCACACAGAGCCTTGCCCCGTTTTTACAACATTGTTCATTAGACATCATTAATCAATCACAAGAAGAAATTTCCGAAATCAACCTATTTTTGCTCCTTGTAGGATCAATTATCGGTGATAACAAGAGGAGAAGATGGATCCCACAAAAGTGGGCGAACGGCACAGTTACTGCAGGTGACGAACCACGAATGGAAAAAGCAATCAAAGAAAATGGAGAGGCATAACAGAAAGAAGCAATGATATTCAAACTTGCGGGAATAGAACACGAAAATGCCGTCAGATTTGCGATATTTATGTAGGTTTGAAGAGACACCTGCAGACTTGAAAGTGTTTATGTCACGTGTTTGTTCTATCAGGTGACATTCCCCTATTGTAACAAGCGAGCGCGGAAGAAGTAAGAACCGAGTGTTGTACATACGCACAAAACAAGTACATATCAATGTGTAAACACTACTCGAGTAAATTTCGTGTGAGGGCCGGCTTAGCTGCACAGGCCACTTTTACACCAATACTTATAGAAACTACTATAGATTAATTCAACTCTACAAGTATTAAAAACCAGTAGCACTTATAGAAACTACTATAGATTAATTCAACTCTACAAGTATTAAAAACCAGTAGCACTTATAGAACTGGTTGATTCGAGCATTGCGCGTAGATATACCAGCTCTATTTATTGCCTAGACCTGATTATAGAATGTTTTTAAGTAGTAATGTTAACTTATACGTTTTATAGTAGAAAACAAGCGTATAAACCAACTATCTAGTTTATCCTAATATTATAAGACTATCTCTACTCGTTAGCATTCTATACTTGGTAGAGATTCTTATACGCTTCTGATTAATTCAATATTTTAGTTATAGAGAAATCTATCGAAGGGGGAAATTTTTATATACTGTGTTGTTGTAAAGTACGTAAAAGTAGTCTTTTTAATGGGGGTTTGTGGCACGCAGGTAAGCCGACCCTTACACGAAACCTACCCGAGTCCCTCGCTCTTTTAGTAGTATTCACTCCTATCACTCCACCCAGGTCTTAGATAACTCGCGTCAAATCCAGGATCAAAAGAGCTCTCCACAACCCCAAGAACAGTCCAATCAAGAGTGACACTTCCGCCCTCCGCACCTTGCGTCCAGACACTGAGTCCAATCGTATTATCTCCATGATAATTCAAGATACCAGGGTATACTGTATGAAGAAAAAATAAAAGAGAGGTTAACAACTGTAAAAGCAGATAGCTGAAAGGGATGTAAGAGGACAGGACATACCAGGAAAAACGACCTGATTCCCAACATGCGGAACATATTTTCCAAACATATACCCATTAACATAAAGCTGGGCTCTAACTGCTGTGCCAGCTGGTGACCCAGGAACAAACCCCAGCGAGACATCATAGCCCACGGGGATATCAAGCGGCACAACAGTTCTATAGAACCTGGCACTTGCCTCTGTGATTCCAGTTTCAGGACTTGATGTCTCCCACACAGAGTCATCAAAACCAGGTAGATGCCATCCTAACCTCTCAGCATGGAGTCCTCCCTCGTTATAAGTACCTCTAACTTTATCAATGTTCGCTTCTCCCCCCGCGTTTCCCTGCACTTTCCACTCTGTGAATGTTCCGCCGCCGAGGAGCGTAGCGTTGAAGATTCCGCGAGGGTTGGTAGCTCCACTTGTTTGGTCGTGTCCCATGTTATCTTGGATGACGAAGAGAACGTTACTTCCATTCGAATTCAAGGTCGCATTTTCGAATGAGAGTGTCGCTTCTCCTTGAGTGATCTTCATATCCCCCAACCAAGATCCAATGAAATCCCCATTGAGATAGGCGCTCCATCCGCTATACACACCGCCAATTACTGAGAGGAAAACACCTGTTGTGGAGACATTCGATACTGAGAAGGTACCGCGCCAGAGAATATTGCCGGTATGATATCCATATTCATCTGCGTACAGAACAGGGTATGTGGCTGGGGGTGTGGGATTAGGTGTTGAGTTGTGATTTGCGATTTTCCACTTCGAGTCGTCATAATTTGGGAGCCGTTCCGGGAGTCCATCAGCGGATTTCCAATTTGTGAGTGCCGGCAGTTGGAAGTTGATGGTGGTGATGGTTTGAGCTGGTACTTCTAGGACACCGACTAAACTTCCATAGGCAGATCGTTGAACTAGGATTTCTTTCTCGTTGAAAACAACTTTGTTGATGCATGATGGCGCGTAAATTTCGAGCGAGGTGGTTTCCTCCCAGTCTCCTGTGAGTTCGAGGGTCTCACCCTCAATGGCTGTGCTTCGCACGAGGTAAGGTCCAAGTACAATGACTACAAAACATTAGCGAATAATTCGATAGATTCCTAAAGTGAGACCTACTCGTTGAGTTTTCAGGGGTGTAAGGGTCGCTGGAGGTTGATGGGACCCAAGTATAATAAGCTGCAGATCTGTCGACGAGAACTACACGGTATTTGTTGTCAAATTCAATGACGGAAGAGCCAGCTAGTTGCGTGTACGAGACAATTAAACCCCCATCGGTAGGATGGAACTCGGTATTGGAAGTACCATCGCTCTTTGTTACTATTCCTTCGGTGACTCCAGTCAAGAAGAACTCGCCCTTCTCTCCAGTGGGCAGCCATAGTACCACGATAGGCAGTTCATCTTGTAACGAGACCGTAAGGACCTCGGCAGTTGCGTAAACCAATTTCTCACTTCCAATTTTGAAGTCGGTCACGATGATCTTTGATTGTCTCCCATCAAGAGCTATCTCACTTACGTATTGAGGAATCGTAAGGTCACCAACAGATGTTTTCACCTTCAGTGTGAAAGGTGTCAGAGCGGTTGATGGCGAAGAGGCGTGGACAGTGACATAGAAAGCAGCATTGGTATCTGGATTTCGAAGCTCGCTAGTAAAAATATCAGGGGTTGAGGCGTAATCGGTGCTATTGTTGATGCGGTCCACTTTTGTCAAATCTCTTGCAACTCGGATAAATTGTCCAAACAACTTGGTTTCGTGATATTTGTCACCGATAGTTCTGCTCTCGCCTATTGAGATTTAGCAATGCACTTGTCGCATTATAGAGAGGGATAGAGGCTACGAACTAATTGGTGCGCTATAATCATAACTAGTTCCTACCATTGGGAATGGAAGTCCTCCTGTTCAATGCCAATTAGCTTCAAAGGCTCCAAGGAGGGCTAAAAATGGACTTCGTACCCCTGCAGATAAGAAGTTAGCGAACAAGCCTCCAATTAGATTCGGAATTAACGCTTACCAATTAGTTCCTCCAAATACCATGTATACGTTGATTGCCGTGGCCTTCTCCGCAATATTGTGCTTGTAGTAAACATTGACCCAGTCCGGACCAGTATTGTTCACACTAATTCTGTCAGCTTTGACCTGTAAAATACAGAATTTCGGGAGACACTAACCATCCACCAGCCGGACCTGCCCAAGGATTGTAACTCCCGCCTTGAAATTCGGCTAAAAACGATGGCTGAGTAGGCGAAACCTGTTTAAAATTTGTGAAATAATCATAAAGAGTGAAATCAGGCACATTTCCGTTGGTCCCTGTACATTCACTTAAGTCACAACTCCAACAGGAGGGATAATGGTCAAAGGCGTAGCTATCCACATTTCCACCTTCATCGCTATAGTCTTTCGACCATGATTTTGTTCTCATATTTGGGTTGTTATGGATCAAAGGAACATCGATTCCATTTTCTCGTGCCGAAGCTTGGAGAAGTTCCATGTATTCTATGCCCGCCGGATTTGGAATTTTCTTCTCAGCATCAAGCCACTGATTTCCGTATTCATTCTCAATTTGATAGATGAATACGTTACCTCCGTTAGTAACTTGGTGTTCGGAAACAATCTTGGAGATCTGAGAAAAGAACGGCGTCCAGGCATCGGTATATCTCGAATCATTATTTCGAAGAGTACCATAGGCCCCAGTGGTTAGCCATCCAGGAAAACCCCCAGCATTGGATTCTGCGTTGACGTAAGGACCTGGGCGGAAGAGCACGTATAGCCCAACTTCTTTAACTATCTCGAAGAGTTTGGTGAAATCGCGCGTCGCGGTTTCGAAATCGAGATCACCATCTGCTGGACTGTGGTAACCTGACTTGGTCAGTCCCAGTCATCCAAGAATGGATAGGTAAGTATAAGTAAAGCATACCCCAGTGTGAGTAGAAGCTCACGCAATTAAAGCTACTGGCGTCAGAAAAGTGTACTTTATAGGCTGGGAATGTATTACCCTGCCGCTTTAACCTTCTGAAAGACATCAATCCAAAGCTCGGGAACGGGAATTCTCCAATAGTCTAAACAAATCGTTCAGTCGAAACACCTTACAGGGTTTTACCAAAATACATATGGTCTTTACCACCAAATTTTCGTGCGCAGAATCAAAAGACAACAAAAAGAGAACTGTTTATGAAGAAAGATTGAAAATCCTTACGAAACTGTAAGTGTTAGAACCTACACACGTTGAGTGGAAAATAATGGCTAACCTCTCCAGACCAAACAAACAGCCTCTGCCCATTGATAATATAACTGTAGTGATCCCTAAAGTCGCATAATTAATTCTCTGGCAACAATCACCATGCTACCCCTGGGAATTAAGTACCATTGTACCACTTGATTCAGACCATTATCGTGTACTGGCCATTCATCTTGGCTCGCCGCATTCCAAGCCAAGAGAGACAGGAAGGAAAGGTAGTAGGAGAGCCTCATTGTAAATATGTCAATATCCAAACTGCCTCTCCAAAGGAATGGGATAGAAAAGATTCCAACCCTTTCTATAAAGAGATTTGTTTTAATATATAGCACACAAGAAACCCATACCTCTCCACCAACTAGGTCTCGGCTTCATCTGAGCTGATTGGCTTGAACATGAGGGGGTTCATTCTGCAGGTACGCTACCCCACAATCGAGAATTGGCTTGGGAAAAATGGGGAAAGCAACATGGTACCCCGCATCAACAGAGCCGAACGGAGAAACAGAGAGCGAAAATTATGATATATTTTCCGGCTTCAACCTCATTCGCGCGCCTGCGGCTGGATATGGGGACGATACTGTGGAGATAGAGGCGGCGGTGAAGACAAAGATTCTCTATGAACCTGCAGAGGCAAATATAGAGTATATAGAAAACTTTGGTGTTGTCTGATTAGTGTACCGGTGTGTCTGTATTGGGTAGCGCTTTCCATCCATTACAACATAGGTACCAACTGTCCCTCACAGCTTTGGTCACAACATCGGATCTCTCACATATAGCTTTAGGGCTATGGCACCGCATGGAAAGAATGGGGATATCGTACTGTAGATGTATAATCTTACTGCACTACACAGTATGCCATCGGAGCTCGCCTCTGCTCTTTTCAGCAGGTGCCACGTTCTACAACTGGTGGAGTCCCATCCCGATGATGAATGATCTACCCAGACCTCGCACCGCAGAGAATGCAGCATATCTGTCCTGTAAATTTATCTTCATCCCAACTCCCAACTCTGCCATCGCAAGTTTGTTGTTTTGTTGTTGTTGTTGCTTTTTGTGGCTGCAGCGTCAAATGCGCTAAATGAACGTGGAGTCCCATGGCAGATGGACCAGTCATAGCTTTCAGCTTTTGCTTCTGCAGTTGCAAGTCTTTTGGCACGCTAACCAGCGTTAATGACAACAAAGTTCTGCTCTCTTTCCGATTTATTGTACGACGTCTACATACGAGACGAAAATAGTGAGAGCGTCATAGGGATGAGGTTCTTGGGTCTTAGACTCTTGTTGCGGTAGCTTACCGACCAACGACTATCTCGAATCTCCAGATCAGACGAGACGTTACAAGTTTTCCAGCCAAAGCCTTTACAGTGCACATAAAAGCAACGGCGTTAAACGTGCTCGCCTCGATACCTTCGAGTGATCCAAGCCGAGTGTTCTCATCCCGCACAAACAAACGAGCTACCAAATCAAATCACCACATTCGTAGAATCCCCGAGACGTTGTTGTTGTTTGTTGTTTCTTGAAGGAACGGCAAGCTGTGAGCTCCCTTCCAACGCCAGGTTTCCATGTCCATATCAACACCACATCGGCCTCTCTTACTTCCTAGTTCCCCACGCTCAATCTTTGATGATCCCTGAAGTCCCCAAGTCGGTTACAGCAGACGAGATCCTGTCACTGGGTTCTGGGGCGTATCATGTGACGGCAGTTATATCTGGCAGTTGAGTGAACCTTCCTATTGATCGGGTTCGGGAGAAAATTAAGTCAGGCATAGAAGGATACATTGTAATCCTTCGTCGAAAACTCCATGGCCCTCAGAAATTAGGGTGGAGGATCTAGTTTTGGGTCGAAAAGTCACCCGTTAGATTCAACGTACATCTATCCTCTCCCACCACTTCCAATTGCCAACGATAAATTGTCCAACTTCAACTCCCGAGTTGCATGTCTGTACCACCAAACCATCTTCAAACTGACTTCATATCCTTTCCCTGTCCGTCAAAAATGCAGTGACAACACACCGGGTCATGCTGCTCGAATCAGATCCTCGGTATGAATTCCTCAAGTATCTACCGTTGACCAAATTCTCCTCACGGAGACTCTCTTGTATACGTTACTTTCGGAAGAGCCAATTAGTCACGCAGCCTCGTAGTCTTTGGACGCAATATAGAAGGGTCCAGCAAGAATGCAGCTAGTCAAAAAGTTATGTTGTAGACCGCTGTCAAGCAGATTCATACGTAGTGTTTTGAGATCGCATGCATCTCAAATTTCCACATCTGACTTGGATCACCTGCATGGTTTGTGTATCGGAGCTTTGCCTTCTCGGCCCTCTTACGTGGAAGCGAGAAGTATGCTGATCATAATACTGATCTGCTCATGCAGTGACCACTCTGATGTCGGTAGGTTCGTTGTGTTCCCAACCTAGCGAAGAACATGCCTCGTTTTGACGTTTTGGCGTTATGGCTTTCTAATGACCGAAAATCATATCTTTACTGGTGGGATCTTCAGATCCAGAAGAAATATATAAAAACGGCTATCTAACGGTCATACATATATCCCTGAACAAAAGAAAACTGCTTAAGTTGTTTCTATGAACTGAAAACCCACATCCTACATCTCAGTCACCTTCTATCAAAATAACACCCATGTCCAGATTAAAAATGAGATTCATTCCTAACCCTCGTTGGTATCAATACTTCAATTCGACGGCGAGCCGCAGGTATTGTACCAGTCACATTGAACACACAAGAATCTCACACCGACCTTCTCATCGGAACTCGTCGAGACATCCTGGAATTAGGGGTTTGAAAGAGGCTCCAAGTACGCTCGGCTTTTGAAGATTGCAATTTAGATGGTTGATAAAGAGCCATGGAGAGCATCACTTTGACTTCTATCCCCTCCAACAGGTAACCAGTCTCTTGCTTCTGACCTTGACCACAAAGTACTCACTTCTCTTTCATAAGAAACGAAAGCACAACCGAACATTTCCATCATCACAACATCCCGCAACCATTCCTTAGCTTGACAGTTCTCTTCCTGCCAAATTCAAATCACCAAGTCGAGCCAACCGACATTCCCTCGCCTCCACTTTACCCTCCACGCGTCTCCCCCTTTCCCCTCTCGCTTCCCATCACCACGGGCAACACACCACACCCCAAACCTCAAAACACCACACCCCCCAAACTCGCGCTCACCTCGCACCTTACAAGCTTTCAATATATACTCTCCCTTTCCTCACACTCGCTTTCAGTTCCACAGTCCTTACAAGTACCACAACCATAACAAGATGCGCGCCCTAGCTCTCACCTTACTGTTCTCCCTCGTCCTCGCCTTCGCAAGCGCGTTGCAGCCTCCAAACCCCCAATTTTCAGGAGGTGAGGGATTAACAGAGATTCAACGCGCGATCAACATCTCCAGTCCCGATAATACGTGTGGAAAATCGGTTGGTAAGGGAAAGGGATATATTTGTAATCCGGCCAAGAATGCAGGGGGTTGTTGTAGTGGTGCTGGGTGGTGTGGATGGGGAGATGGTATGTTCTATCTCTTTCTTCAATTTTGTTTTGCTTTGAGCTCGAGAAGAAGTAGGGAAAGAGGCATGCGCGTTACATTTGTCCACTTTGAGAATCGTAAGAGGGCAAAGGGTGTTGAGTGAGCTTGTTCATTAACATGGGTGCTATTATATATTTACCCTCTCTACAAGGAACAAGGAGATCAAACGAACGAGAGAAGTTTGACGTACTAAAACCCAAACAACAGACTACTGCGGCCCAACATGCCAACCCTTATTCTCCCTCGGGAAATGCAACACCACCACGACCACCCCACCACCACTCTCAGACGACTTCCTCTGCGGTCCACAGAACGGAAACAAGAAATGCTCCGGAAATGGATGTTGCAGTCAGGTAAGACTACAACTTCCCACACCATCCCACAAATCAAAATAATATAGATTTTGAAGCTGGAGGAGATGCTAATCAGAATTCCAGTACGGATATTGCGGCATCACGTTCGACTACTGCTCCACAAGCTGCCAATCCACTTTCGGAAAGTGTACTCTATCACCTACCAATACGTCTTCTTTGGCGCCACTGACTCCCTATCCAACTGCGACTCCCACATCTACACCTACTAACGACAATTGCGGAGCGGCGAATGGAAATTTGTCATGTCCTACTGGTCAATGTTGTAGTTCCGCAGGCAAGTGTTACATACACCTCCTCGCAGAATCCTAGAAACGCATGTAAGGAATTATACTAATGATATAATGCATAGGGTGGTGTGGAACAACAAGCGATTACTGCGCCGTGGGATGTCAACCAAACTTTGGACGTTGTGATGAACATAGCAACTCCACGGGCTACCCCGAGCCAGATACGTATTCATGCGGTGCCGGTTTGGGAATCTGTAATAACGATCAATGTTGTTCCAAAAATGGTAGGTCAATTGCGCTTGCTCTAGTCTTTTATACGGATGCTAATGATATACGATATAGGATACTGCGGAAGAGGAGAAGACTACTGTTCAGATCCCCAATGGTGCCAGACCAGTTATGGACGATGTGATTCAGACACAACACCACTTGGAAAATCAACTGCAAATGTCCCAAGGCCATGGAAAGGAAGTGTTCCATATGATGAAGATATATATGACTGCCAAAAGAGTCGTGTGGTCGCTTTGACATACGACGATGGGCCAAGTCCATATACAGCCCAACTTTTGGATTTGTTGAAGGCATATGGTTTTCATGCCACCTTCTTCGTCACGGGAAACAACAACGGAAAAGGTCCAATTGATACCACGGCTCAATGGTCGGCTGTGATCAGAAGGATGATTGCAGAAGGACACCAGGTTGCTTCGCACAGCTGGTCCCACTATGAATTTGACTCCATCGGGCATGATGAACGTATGGATCAGATGATCAAGAACGAAATGGCCTTCAACAATATCATAGGCAAATTTCCAACTTACATGAGACCGCCATACTCAAATTGTTCCCAAACAACAGGATGTTGGGCGGATATGCAAGCACTGGGATACCATCGAATATATTTCGACTTGGATACAGATGATACGAACAACGAGACTCCGGACAACATACAGAATTCGAAGAATGATGTAAGAAACATGTTGAGCCAGGGTCCTGCTGGAGGTAACTTTTTGTCGATCCAGCATGATATCAGTGAGCAATCGGTCAAAAGTCTCTCGTCATATTACTTTGACTTGATAAAGAAAAAGGTTGGTGGCGTTACCTACATCTTAGCTCGAAATTCTGGAGTGTTTTATAGCTAACAAATGTGGTCCCGATAGGGCTGGCGAGGTGTAACGGTAGGAGAGTGTCTTGGTGACGAGGAGGAGAACTGGTACAGGGTAATGTAGGGTATGGAGGGATTTGTTGCCAGGATCGACGTTCATCCCGCATTTCCAGTCTCAACCTTAAAATATCCGCCGTCACGCGACTGAGAACTCGGTTGGCATATGAGGATGTGCTAACGAGAAACCCTTGGATCTTCACAATTTATGCTTCCATGGAAGGCGTCCAAAAACCAAACATTCCTCGAATCCTTCGCAGCCCCTTTAAGTAAGCATACAATAAACAACCCATTTATCCAACTACTGCCCTGCTCCTGTCGTAGCTTGGTTAGCGACACAAGTATCAACCCACTATTAGGTATTATAACCAGCGTCCCCTTGTCTACATGGTCAAAAAGAAGGGAAAAGTACATACCGTCCTAGCAAAAATTGCTTTTTTTGCACTTAAACATCGTAGAGGAGTTTTGCCGTTGGGAGTCACTTTACAATCGTCGCAGCCATTCGCCTTCATGGTTTCGCATGATCCGATTGTGGCGGGATTATAGTCATCTCCCTATTGTCCCTATCGTGTTAGAAACAGATATTTGCTTGATATTAAGGCAATATTTTATTCTAGATACTTCAGACCTCGGTGATTTATAGCCGAGGTCTTCTAATATCTATAGTATAGGTTATCTTATTAGAAGGAAGGACGAGGTTACGTTGTAATATTGACACCATGCGGTCTTGTACCCGACATTCGGATCAAAGGCTGCGCTATAAACAGTAGTGGCCAACGTTGCGAAAACAAAGAGATCTCGGAATTGCATATTGTCGACAGAGTCGTCCGAATCTAAAAAGATCGATAAAATATCTCTCTCTCTGTATAGTAATGGAGTGTAGTTCTACAAACAAGCAGAACGGAAGTCTTCGAGGAAAAGTCTTAGAAGTGGCACCGTGGTAGTATATTGAAAAACGGTAGTAGTAATCGGTGTAAAGTGTAATGCTAGACTATCTCGCTGCTCTATATAGGCGGCTATCGTATCGGTCCGATACAGTACAAGAGACAGGAACATCGTATATTAACATTACTCCCCGTTAATCACTGTGCAATCACAGCAAAACTTTACTTCGAGGGGCGGAGTAGTACTATAAAAACTCAATAGTAAGGTCTAAAGTGGTTGGGGAGTACGAGGTGTATGTGTGTAAGTACGTACCTACAAAAAGTTTGTAGTTAATAATCGAAGCTATTTCGAGCTATGGTATTATTGTTATCATTTTAGAAATAGTAAATCAGAGTATTTTAATTGGCTCGATTATATAAAAGTATAGAAATCATAATAATATTATTAATATATTGAATTAGATGGTAGATCTTACTAGATTAAGAATACACTTAGGCCCAGCGCTGCCACCTACAAGACTAAAACAGCTCGTACTCCCAGACCACTTTAGACCTTACTGTTGAGTTTTTACTGTATCGGTTTCGAACGGAGAGGAAATCGGAAATATGGGTATTTGTTTGCAGATGTTTGCGTGATTTGTAGATCAACCAGAAACAGGTCTTTCGGTTGGCCAAAAGTTCCGAAGGGTTAGAGCAGTGGAGTAGTTTCAATAGTAACAAGAATATCAATGAATTTGTGGGGGAGTGGCCCCGATTTGGCCCTCTAAATAGTCCAGACGGGTTAAGAGGCTCAAAGAGTTTGAAAGAAGGTTGGTGGGCGTTATGCAAAGATGTTTGGACGACGGAGGATTTTCGATTTCGGTCTTCAGATATTCATGCATGCTCGAGGTTCCGTCGATCCCTAGATTTTAGCTGCTGCATCCTCGTAAATGTTGGTGTTGAGTCCAAGGAAGCTAAATTCGGTACTGTGATACGAGTACTTGGAGGTAAATATAATAATTAAGAATTCCAATTGCGTCTTGAATCATGGATTTCGCCACGCCGTTCCTGGTCAATTTCGTACCATACTCGACTCATACATTGATCGATCATGCCCCGCATTCAACCCCACGAAGGTCCCCGATTACTGAGGGGGAACTTACTAGTAGAGCGGAGAGGGTGCAAGGGCTTTGCATTGTCTTCATGGACATGGGTGGGATGTCTACTGGCGACGACGTCTGCGATGGAAGCCAGTCAGCGTTCTGGCTCCAACACAAGATGTCAAGATTCCGTGGCTGCGACGAAGAACGACGGTTTCATCATGATCATGCATGAACGTCGCCCGCGCCAGGCCCGACTAGACCGATGCTCAGACGGAAGTGAGTATAGGCGTGCGTGCGGGAGCAGTGTCGTGCCTTGCCTTCGGTTGTCAGTTAGATTGTGTGTATATATCCGGCCAGGTCCCAAAGAGTAGTCGTAGAATTGATGCGCTAAGGTTTCGTAAATCGTCGACGTCGAAATCCGCAGACATCGCATCGCATCGCCCAAAGTGAAGCTATCCACAACATTGTATCCCACTGCTCTGCGACCGCGACCGCAACCGCGCCCGCAACCGCCTCCGCCTCATCGCAACGCCCGACGCATCGTGAGTTGTCGTATTTTTGGTGTGTTGTTCGTCGAAAAGCGTTGAGCGGAGATGGAGGGCAATCTGCAGGTCGAGGCCAATCCCGTCGAGGCCCAGGGCCAGCAGCAGCCGCCCGCGGAGGCCTTGCTCGCCTTCCAGGTGCCGTCGGGCATTTTGACGCCGCCACGGAGCGAACGCAGCGAATCAAGCGCAAGTTGCCGTGCCAGCATCTATTCAGATTTCAGCATCAACAATACATCACCACCATCATCACCATCGCCGGCCAGAAGCACTCCCATACGTCGAGAACGCGCATCCACCACCCTGAAAGAAGCCAATCGCTCCATACAATTCACGACCCGTCTCAATCGCAGTGCCAGTGCCGCCTCGACTGATTCTAGTGGGGAAATCTCCAACCGGCGAAGAAGGGCGACTTTCCAGCATCGCAACACCCCCAAGAATCTCCCCATCGACCACGGAACCAGATTAGTCGAGCCGCCGCATGAGAAGCCGTTGTCCAGCATGGCCTTTGCGGAGCAGCAGAAATGGATTACGGTTCAGCAAAAGACATTTACAAAATGGTACGAGGGAGACCACACCCAGCCCAAAAGAGGGGTATTGGGACTGACTGACCGCCCACAGGTTAAACACCAAGATAGAGCCGCGAGAGTTGGCGGTGGTGGATTTAGTTAAAGACCTGAGCGATGGCGTATGCAATCTCTCCTTCATACTGTACTTGCCCATACTGATCCAGCTCCCCAGGTTATTCTTATACACCTCCTGGAATGCCTGTCCAACGAATCACTCGGCCGATATGCCGCCAAACCCAAGTTACGAGTCCAGCGATTCGAGAATGCCAATTTATCCTTAGACTTTATTAAATCCCGTGGAATCCAGATGACGAACATTGGTGCGGAAGATGTAGTCGACGGAAACCGAAAGATTATTCTGGGCTTGATCTGGACCTTGATTCTACGATTTACCATATCTGATATCAATGAAGAGGGAATGACTGCCAAAGAAGGTTTACTTCTCTGGTGCCAAAGAAAAACTGCTTGTTATGATGAGGTTGAGGTGCGGAACTTTACCGACTGTTGGAATGATGGTCTGGCCTTCTGCGCCTTGTTAGATATCCATAGACCCGATTTGATCGACTACGATTCTCTGGACAAAAATGACCACAAGGGTAACATGCAACTAGCTTTCGATATTGCCTCCAAAGAAATCGGAATTCCGGATTTGTTGGATGTCGAGGATGTTTGCGATGTTGCAAAGCCCGATGAACGTAGTTTGATGACATATATCGCCTACTGGTTCCACGCCTTCTCCCAGATGGAAAAGGTCGAGAATGCTGGAAGGAGAGTGGAAAAGTTTGTCAACAGTATGCAAGGGGCTTGGGAGATGCAAAGTAGTTACGAGAGGAGAATGCGCGAGTTACTGAAAAACATCAGGGAACAGCATATAAAATGGCAAGAGGCGACATTTGAGGGAACCTACGCGGACGCCAAACTCCAAGCCACGGAATTTAGTGCATACAAGCGTGGGAAGAAGAGAGAATGGGTAGCGGAGAAGAGTGACCTGGCGGCATTATTGGGAAACATTAAGACGAAAATGAGCACTTATCGGCTACGAGCATACGAACCACCGCCAGAGTTGAGATTGAGTGTCATGGACCAGGAATGGGCTAGTTTGATCAAAGCAGAAATGGCCCGAGGCCAATTGATTAACGAGACTATCAGAGAGTAAGAAATTTCTGGATTGATAGGGAACGAAAATTAACATTTGACAGTATCAAGAATGCTCTGAGGAAGGCCTTTGCAGATAAAGCAAACGATTTTGCCCTTGCTCTCAACACAATGCAGCTAGCTATCTCAGGCTTAGAGGGCGATGTCGAGGACCAACTTACCCACGTCCGTCGACTCAACGACAACCTCACTCCATTAAATCAATACTTAGAAAAGATTGCCATCGCTGATCAAAAGTGCGAGGAAGCAAACATTGAAGAAAATGACTTTACCACTTACACATACGACGAGTTATCTTATGAACTTGGTTTGGTCAAAAACTCCGTTTCGAAAAAACTGGCGTTCTTGGATAATCAAGTTGTTGCACGGAACATGACGAACTTGACGCCAATCCAATTGGAAGAATTCGAAAGTGTTTTCCGACATTTCGATCGAGATGCCACCAACAGTCTTCAAGAACTTGAATTCAGCGCCGCTCTCGCTTCGCTTGGGTTGGTGTTTAGCGAGGACGAAATGCACGAATCTTTCTTTGAGACTTCTAATGGGAGAGATTACGTTACTTTTGAACAATTTATTCGCTTCATGGTTGATGTTACCGAGGATCAGAACACCGCCGAACAGGTCTTCCAGAGTTTCAGAGAAGTGGCGGATGGTAAACCATATGTCACTGAGATGGATCTGAGACATAGTTTGGTGCCTGACGACGTTATCGAGAAGCTTACTTCGATCGTGCCACTTCACAAAGGCCCTGATCTCCAGGAAGACAGAGGCATGCCGCAGTATGATTACATTAGCTTCATGGACAAATTGATTAGTGACCCGGGGGAGTCGTCGGGTTCGGATGTGGGGAGCGAGGCGGGCGGCCCTCTTGGGGACATTACCAATGGGCAGCGACCAACGACTCCGACAAAGACGAACGGATATCATTGAACCAACCCATAGTCTTAATTGAGGGGATCGTAGTCTAAAGCGGGGATCTTTAGTGGGTCGAAATTTGTACATTTATGATTTGGCGAGGGCGCGGTAGCATGCACTGGTGTTCTTGTTTTTTTTCCTTCTCTTCTACTGGTCTGGGGATTTGCTTGGGTTGGCTTGGGGTGGTTAAAAAGGGGAGTAGAACGCTACTTTTCTTCTTCGTCTTTTTCTTCCGACTGGTCTGGTCGGGTACCTTGATGCATTTCCTGCATTGCATTTTCTTGGGTTTTTTCTATTCGCTGCGGCCTCCATTTGAAGTGGCTGGTGGGTGGGCTTCTTTTCTATGTCCTATGGGGATACACATATGGTAGATAGGTTAGACAAATTGACTCCTTGAGTGAATTGCGGACTTTTGTTATTCTGGTACCTGGGTATGGGGAACTGTGAATACGAGAGAGGAATTGTAGACTTTTGTTTATTTGGAATCTGGATAGGGGACTGTGAATGTGAGAGCTCAGAGGTGAATTGTATAGTAGGGATATTCGTTGCACATTCACCCCTCTCTAGCTTTGAATTGATATCCAAGATTTCTTAGGTGATGGGATGACACAGTAGGGATATTCCATGAATTGCGCACTCCCATCTCGCTTTGTTATTCTTGGCCAGTGCGATTACTGATTGCTTCCATTCCCCTCCCCCCTTTATTTTTCGCTTACTGTAATCTCTGGTCAGCACATCAAATCTATCACCTGAGGCATCAACTCTCTCAACATGTACCAGTCTAGGACATGATAACTCTTCTAAATCTGTTTACATCACCCATTTATTAGTTCTGATGCACGCAGCAGGGGACTACACACGCTGGTAAACAGAGGTTAATTATTGGAAAGAGATACTACTATTGTACAATTTCATCTATCTCATTGGTATTTTCAGTATTGATACAATGGCAAGTGTATGAGTAATCTTCGATCTGAAAAGGCGGTATCTCGTTCTTACAGCCTGGTGCGAAATGATTCGGGTTAACATGTGGGGATTTTTTATCTGAATGGGGTGCGCTTCGGGAGATTGATTCTGGATGGTGGGGTTAGGACTGGTTTGGTTGTTCAGTAGATTTCTAATTGGATTATCGTTCCGGATATGGTATCATGTCCAGTAGTCAGGAAATAAGAATAGTCCGGGTAAATTGATGCAAGAGCAAGCGTGGGAGTAACGGGTAAGTATGCTTGATCACTTTGAAAATTTGAAAGAAGTAGTTTACCAGGTAGGATTGATTTGGCTTGATTCACTACAGTAACAAAACAAATCTCTGTTACTGGCAGAAAGATTGCCTTGTTGGCAGCATTGAGTTGCCAGTAGAATTACATGGAGGGCGATGGGTGGCATGGGAGAGGTATTTTGGTCTTATCCCTCGGGGTTATTACAACCTATATATAAGGATTAGTAGGGGAAGATACGTGCCTTATCAGTGCTACCAGAGGGGAATTTTCTTACACCTGTCACACTCGTGGTTTTGGTGCTGCCGCATGTAGTTTCGTAATGGAGGACTAACTTGGACGACCGTGGGAGAAGAGTAAAAGTTTATTTAGTAGGATTTATGTCTACTGCCGAATTGTATGGGAGAATTTCACTACTGAGAATATCTGGTATGAAGTCGAAATAAGCTTTACGCATCGTGCTTCGTGTTGTATATTGCGCGATAGTTGGGCGAGGAGGTCCCCTAATTTGGGGCTATAGGGCTGCGTTGGGATCTACAGGAAGGGTTTCACAAGCTGGGGATACATCGGTCGGGGGAGGGGAGGGAAGGTTCTTGTTTGTACTAATATGTGGGTGGACAGGGCACGAGTAATTTATTACTAGAGGGTTCTGTTACTGTGACTTGGTTGGCTTTAGCGGAGGAGTTCTAATATATTATGTTTGGGGTGGTGCTAGAGGTTTTGATTTGGTCTGAATATTTGGTCTATTCTGGGTTGGGCAAAAGCTGAGTTAAAATTACTCCAGAGCTTACACCAATATGCTTCACGTTAAGTTGCAGTTTGACACCAGAGTGTGGGGAGATTTGATTTCCATTAAAGAGCGTATATCTCCAGCCTACCTTTTTTGCGGTGTTTTTTTTTGTATTACTTTCACTTCAACCATGTTCAAACTTCGAGTATTCCTCCCAGTTATCCTCCATACAATCCAACCAAGGAAAGTAATGAAAGTGTTTCAACCTCAAACCGAACCCCAATTCCTATCCCTATTCCTATCCAAACCCTCCATGGAGTTACTACTCATGCGTACAGTTCAGGAATCCTGCTCGCCATTCTTGAAGTTCAGAGAGGCCCCTTCATTCACTCAAGTAAAGGAGCATCGGCAGCTGGTGAGAGTACAGGCCCAGCGAGGGTATCCAAAGGCTCTGCAGATTCCGATGCACTGGGCAGGGGTCAAATTACCGCAGTATCCATTGGCTGCATCAGTTCCAGGAGCTGAACGAGCTTTTTAATATCTCACTTCAAAATGATGAGTGGGGTGGACGCTTACCAGCAGAGGTGTCAAGGGTCTTGAAAGATCCAGAAACGGTGCTAATTTCCGCACCGGCGGTGGTACCTGTGGAGGACTCTGAGTTAGATCACTTCTTGAGATAGATATACGGGTTCTTGAAGACGTTTGGATGTTCTTCTGACTTCCTCTTCGAACGCATTTCGAAGGGTTCGCTTACCGGAAACAGCTCCAGCAGCAGCTTCGGCTGGGGCAGCAGAGACAAGAGCCAAAATGTTGGCGGCAGCAACGAGGGCGAGTGAGAAGCGCATATTGATTGTTGAGGGTGAGGTTTTGGGTTTTTTCTTGGAATTGGAAGATTTTATGCTGAGAGGAGTCTTGAGGCTTGATTACTCTGGATGCTTTGGGGTGAAGAAAGGAGTGTCTTTGGACGGGATATTGTGGTGCTTTATATACTCAGATTTCAAGGATCTGTTCCCTCTAGTCCTCCTTCATGAAGGCGGGAAGTTTTTCGTATTGGGTCCTTTCGGGGCTCAGAAGTCTTCATAGATATCCGAATCACAGCATTTTCTTTCTCTTTGAAGTTCTCTCGATTACTGTCATCAGATGCAAGTCTTGAGAATATTTCTGCCGTACTACACGCCTGAGAGCCGTTCCTACTGAGCGTAAGCTCTATGCTCTTGAACGTGTGTGGTGAGGCCAAGATATCACGACGTTTCTTTCCTCCTCCTTCCGCTGGCGTCGCGTATGAAAAACAGATGATTGTCACTTGGATTTCCCTTGGTGCAGTGGAAAACGAGAATCCAAATCCGAAGCACGGTAGATTGATGTTGCAGACAGCATTTGATACTCAATAAGACTCTCGTTCAGATTCTTTTCATGTATACTTTCGGACGTCAAATAACAATCCCATATCACATGCATGGACGAAGTGATTCTGGTAAAATTCGAGAACTCCAAGCTTAACTTAGCCGAAAGTACACCATACTCTAGCTCAAGCTTGTTTTGTCTCCGGAAGGTAAGTTTTAGTCATATATTTACGAGTTGTGCAACTTTATATCTACAGAAGAACCATAGCTTTTGCCGCTCATCGAGAAACAAGAAAGGGCGTGTTTTCGTGTTGCCAGCTCTGGAGAACTTGATCAGCCAAGAGCCTAACGTGGTTGCTTTCGTTGGAACCGCGTCAACAACAAAGATATGACCTAACTACTAGCTCGAAAAGAGGTGGGTGGTCACAATTACTGCCAGCCCCTCATCAACCACTCATCGAACCACGAGCAAGATACTTGGATGGATATAACTGGCATCCCGAATTCAAGTCCCCCACACGATGTCATCTTAGTAAAAGTTGAAACACTTTCCGCGAAAACAAACTAACATCGAACGATTGAAGGTACAGTACAAGGCAAGACAAAAAAAAACCCTGTGGTGTACATTGAGGCTGAGAGTTCACACTTCTCCATACACAAACGAATGCAACCGCTGTGGCCTCTTGCGCTCAGCTCCATGGCTGCAAAGTTTCAAAACGGGACCCTACAGCATCTTTAAATCTACCGCATACAAGATTCAGGGAAGGTTTGCGCGAGAATTTGTTTGTACTGATAGGAACTGCAAGACTTCGTCCCATTTGGATGTAACCATGGTGTAGTAGCACCCCGAATAGGGCTCTCTACTGCTCGAATTCCTGAGTTCGGCCCATTATTTTTTGACACCATGTGTAAGAAACATCAAGTGATGGGAGTTTGCGGTGAGGAAAATCAAAATAGTCCTTGGGAAACGTTACGCTTGCTCGCTTTCGACTTCCGTCCTTGGTAATTTGAGTGTGCAGTGATTTCGCTTGGATTCGATCAGAGAGTCGAAGATGCTCGGAGCCATTCATCTCCGGGCGGCGAGAAAACTCCTGTAATATTAGTTAATAGATATTTATGACTTTTTTTATTTCTGGATTCGACGTATGAATAATATACAAGCCATCAAAAGAAAGCGAAAAGCCCAATACCACCACCCAGATATTGTGATACCCGGAAGCTTAGCCGCTCAGCCCATCTCACGAAAACCACCTGTCCCACTAGAAAGATACCTAACAAGCTCTGTTTGATAGGCCAATAGAAGAACCAATAGTCCAGTCGGTACGCAAGTAAGAATGAGTCTTACCCTGGCTTTTCTGGGCAACAGTTGGGCTGGGTGGCTTTTCATCAGACGAATGAATTTTGTTTTCGGCATTCACCTGGTTTTGCGGGGTAGAAAGTTCAAAGTGTGATACAAGTGGCTTTTGCGGAATGGAGACCGCGTGAGATTTTGGGGCGAAAGGGATGTCGTGTCTGCGACTTTGACAAAGCATTACAAGTTTTTGTTAGAATATGTACAACTTTAAACCGCTACTCCCAGAACTGCAAGTTTCAAATGGCTCATGGGATAGACCGGAAGATGATTCTTTCCCTTACTGGTTACATGGGTACCGCATTGATGGTCTGAATAGGGGACCGGTACCGGTACCCAAGGAAACTCACCCTGACAACACATCTCCCAGCCTCCTTCACTTAGACTTCGAGGTACTCATTAGTAATATCTTCTGAGCAATGTCCTCATTTTCGCATCGTTAGCTTGGGTTTCCTTCGTCATGCGAATCTCATTCCATGCAAGCTCCACTAGCTGCGAGAGAATTGTGGATCAGAAGCTTCATTTGATCCTACGTGATAGTAATTGTATGCTGGCGGGATACATAACAAAATCTTCTACCACCTTAAGATTTTCTAGTCTTCCTTCTGCCTGCGAATGGTGACTCAGAGCTACCTATCTCAAAGTGAAATCAATATTCTTACGTTAGCATATAATTGGACATACAGTTAGCTGGCTGAAAGATTATGAATTTGCCAGTGTACGCTGGGTGAGAGTTCTATTTTTCTCATAAACAACTAGAGGGTTTTGTGCGATCTAAGAGAGATAGGCATTTTTCGGGCAATTTTCGCTTAGAGAATAGAGATATTTTGGAATCAAATTTTGTGCTACGCTTTATTACGGCATCCTGAATGTACTAAAAGGCCGAATAGACTTAATACTAATTCGTAAATCGTAAATCTTAAATCTTAATCCTATTTAGTACGAAATCGTAATTCGCAAATTACAAACTAGCTCAGGGTTAGGCCTATATAATAGCGCTAGAATTAAAGGTAAAAGTACTCGATATAAGTAAATAAGCTTAAATTTAACTCGAACGCTCTTTTAACTCTACCCTCCCCTCCTTTATATAAACCTCTTCTACTACTAAATAACCTCTTCTACTACTACTACTAAGAGATATTTTTTTATAAACTCTATAGAGGAGGAGGAGGAGGAAGCTCCCACCTTAGGTCCTATACTATAGATATTATAGGTTACTCCTACGTTTAATTTTATACTATAAATATTATAGATATCGTAGATATCGTAGATCGCTCCTACTAGTAAGTATTAGCTTGTTTTACTATTGATTTAAGTAGTACTATTAAATTAGGTATTACTATTAATACTTTTATATAATTCCTTACCTCAGAACTGTGACGGAGCTGGATTTCATTTGACAGGATTTCATTCGCTTGGCCAAGCACGTGACGAGACTTGGCATTGGAACAACTTAAATAACTTCGCTCCTTTCAGATTCTCTTCTCTCTTTAGTTTGATTTCTTCGTACCTACGGTTTTAGTTCTAGCAATTGATTCAAAAGCTGTATACACTTTATCCTTTGTTGGCATCCGTGACAATTCCTTACCTCAGAACCCTACTATATAAACTACTTGTACTACTAAATATCCTTCTTAACTACTACTACTACTATTAATTAATTTTCTTATTACTTAGAATAGAAGGAGGAGAAGGCTCCTACCTTTAATCTTATACTATAGATATTATAGATTACTCCTACGTTTAATTTTATACTAATCCTACGATTCTTATAATTTGAACGCTCTTTTAACTCTACTCCTCCTTCCTTCTATATAAACCTCTTCTACTATTAAATAACCTTAACTACTACTACTACTACTAAGAGACCTTCCTTTATAAACTCTATAGAGGAGGAGGAGGAGGAGAAGGAGGCTTCTACCTTAGGTCCTATACTATAGATATCGTAGGTTACTCCTACGTTCGATTTTATACTATAGATATCGTAGATATCTTAGATATTATAGATATTATAGATATTATAGATCGCTCCTACTAGTAGATATTAGCTTATTTTACTATCGATTTAGGTATTACTATCGATACCTTTATATAGTTCCTTACCCTAGAACCCTACTATATAAACCCCTCCTACTACTAAATATCCTTAACTACTACTACTATAAGAGACCTTCCTTTATAAATTCTATAGAGGAAGAGGAGGAGGAGGAGGCTCCTACTTTTAATCTTATACTATAGAAATCGTAGGTTACTCCTACGTTCGATTTTATACTATAGATATTATAGGTCGCTCCTATAAGTAAATATTAGCTTTTCTTTTACTATTAAATCTAATACTACTATCGAATCTAGTCTTACTATTAATACCTTTATATAAACCTCTTCTATTACTAAATATCCTTCTTAACTACTACTACTATTAATTAATTCCCTTATTACTTAGAATAGAAGAAGGAGGAGAAGGAGGTAGTTACGCTATTTATAGCTATTATAACTTTAACTTTTACTTTTATAATATCCTTTATAAAAGCAGGAGTAGTTACATCTACTATACTACCTATAGTTAGTTAGTTTTAGAAGGGATTCGATTTGTTACGGAGTTGGAGGGACAAGGGGTAGATCACGTGTAGCACGGCACGTGCGTGTTGCTCAAATCTTGTATATAAGCTTCCGTTCCTCTGGTACTCTCTTCTTCCCTTACTTTGTTATTCGCTCAATATAGCAGTTTACACTTGACTCCGTATCTTATCACAGCAAGTAGTGGTTTACTCCACACGTTTACACGATTAATAAGATATTTATTTAATAGAAGTCTTAATAAGAGTATAAATTAGTTAGCTATAAGTTCCTAAATGAGAAGGAGGGAGTATTAGGTTACGCTTACCCTTTAATTTATACCTATTTATATACTCTTATACTTAAAACTTCTCTCTCTATTAAATATAATAAATATACCTACTCTAATTAATCTAGAGCTAATCGAGGTCTCGAATAATAATACTATTATTCTTACCTCGACCCTCGACCCCGATAAAGAGAGACTAGTATCTACTTCTAGTAAGAGTTTAATAAGTAATAAGACTCCTTAATTAAATAATAATACTAGTAATGATAGTAAGGGTTCGCTATCTAAGGGCGCCTTTAATAAAGAGGGTTCGCTATCTAAGAGTACTCTTAATAAGGAGGGTTTACTATCTAAGGGTATCCTTAATAAAGAGGATTCGCTATCTAAGATTACCTTTAACAAGGTTAAGACAAATAATAAGAATAAGGAGAATAAGAGTTATAGTAGGCTATAGTAAGGGGATATAGGATTACTATCTCTTTTTATAGAAAAGAACAAGGATAGTAATAATAAGGGAGGGATTACTACCTTTATTACTAAAGAGAATTAGAGTTATTAGGATTAACTTAATTATAATAAATAACTAAAGAGAGAGTTATATAAGTAGGATTAGATTAAGGAGGAACTTAAATTAAAGAAGGAGTAGTATATAATAAGAGTAATTCGATTATACTAGGGTTAGAGTTAATATTAAGATACTAGAGTTAGTGCTAAGAATATAAATACTAGCTTAATTATAAAGGAGAACTCGAATATTAATAAGATAGAGCAAGCTTATCTTAATAAAGAGCTTTAGAAGCTTATTTTACCTATACTATTGCTAATACTTATTAGGAATAGCTTTACTTTAAAGAGGAAGAGGGAGGCCCCTTATACTAATAAACTTAGTAAGGTTTATAGTAAACTAATAAGGAAATAGTAAAGATATATATAAAAGAGATTAGTTCTACGAACTTCATCTATAATATAAACTAGTAGTTAATTTATACTATTAAAAGCGCTATATATCTATATTTACTTATTTTATTCTTAGGTACTCATATCCTATTATAATATATAAGTTACTAGTTTTTCTTAGTATCTTAATATTCTATAATAGTTAAGGTAGAGTTTCGAAGTTATATAGTATATATATTTAGCTTAATACTAGCTAGTATATATTAATAGAAAGTAAGCGGTTAGTAACTTACAAGGATTATATATATCTTTAATTTAAGTTTATACTATAATCCTGTCCCTTATCCTTATTCATTTCTCTATAAATAGCCTTATTTTACCTTTAATTCTAGCGCTATTATATAACCCTAACCCTAAGCTAGTTTACGATTTACGAATTACGATTTCGTACTAAATAGGATTAAAATTTAAGATTTGCGATTTACGAATTAGTATTTACTCTATTTGAACTTTTAGTACATTTAGGATGCCGTATTTATATAACACATTTGAAAACATAATAAAATGTGAAAGTTATAACTGACCCAAGCAAATTCCAAAGATCCCGTTGAAATGCCAAGCCAGCCACAGGACATGACAAAAGGAGACTTGGGATAAGAGTTCTTAATTCAGACCAGAAGATCAATCTGCTGCAACCAACTCTTAACGAAGGAGGCCGGACTGCCCGCGTCCCCCCTACAAACGAAGTATTATAGGAAGGCTATAACCCCAAAACACAGCCTTCTAAGCCAAATGGATTATTCGATTCATGTGGATGTATAATAGAAATTGGCAAGGGGATGGGGACCCGAGCTTTCCACTCTCTCTACCTTCTGTAATATAGAATTCCATACCGCTTCTTTTCTCTCAGCTCTTTCTGATTGCCACTTGCAATCCTCATCGTCCGGAAAAGAACACCCACCCGTGCCATTTTCAATCTCGGACCCAGCAACTTCCAACATTGAAGGGGTTGCGCCATAAACATTCTCACTCTGGTTCCAAACCCTCTGAACCAAGGTATCTTCAAGCCACCAGTCTAGCAAAGGCCAATTCAGAGTACGACAACCTGCCAAATAATGTAGGGCTGTATTTCCATGTACATCTCTCGCATCGATATCTCTGACGCCATTCTCCCACAGATAACGAAGAACAAGAAGTTGTTCAGTGAGCTCTGTGTCTGGGGGTAGAGATTGGTCGCTAACATACCAAAAGCAGCTGTGATCATTGAACGATCGGGTATCTCTTGTCTCGTGAATGATTTTCCGAATGATGCTGGCATTCCTTTGGATTCTGAGCCTGCACGCTGGCATGGAAGCAACGTGTAGCAAGGTATGTCCCAAAGCCGTGGTACTGGCATTATGTAGAGGAATACGGCTGGTTACATGCTGTAACATTTCGAGGTCTAATTTCACAACTGCGAAATGTAAGATATGAATCTCGTAAACAGGTGTACGAAGTTCGAGGTTGATATTTGCTCGAGAGCAGAGAAGATCAAAGGCTTCTCTTTCGAACCTATTTGAACTGATAATCGTTGCCATTAAAGGGGTAACACACCTTGTTGGGTTTGATAACGCCATTACATTCGGATCAAAGCCTAATTCGAGTAGATGCCGAAGTATGGGAACATGGCTTTGGCTAACTGCGGAATGTAAAGGAGTTGATATACTCAACGCACTCTCCGAGGCAGGCGAAGGAACGTAAACTTGGGCCTTTTCCAGAAAGTTGCATCAGCGCCCGCTTCTAATAGCGATGGAACCAGACTTAGCAGCTTCGACGAGGGCATGAAGTGTATCACCGCGAGTCCAGAAACATGCGTCCGTAAAGTTCTCACACCAGATTGGGGCCAACCCGTCCCAAAATCTGTCTTCAACTTCTTCATTTGTCAGGCTTGATAGTTGAGGTAAATCCATGAGCTCAAGGTATCCTAATCTAGTTGCTCGATCATTTTATCCGAGCCTCAGTCGTTGCAAGCTCGGCCTGAATCTTAGGAAAAGAGCTGCGTAATCATCGTTTATTGAGTAGGGTGTTCCATTGGGGTTTGCTCCAGCTTCAAGTGAAATTCGGACGTTGGTCGGTAACCTGGCACAGATTGCTTCCATAAGGGGAGAAGTAATGCCAACGAAGCTCCGTCCCCTTGAACGAATTGCATGACAGCTGTATTCCGATGGCCATTTCAAGATCCTAGTATGATCTTCGAATTTGCCGAAATAGTTGTGTCTGGGCAGAGATGGCGCGTTGCGTGAGATTTCCTCATAGAGTTCAAAGCCTTTTGATAAAACGGCTTTCAAAATACGTTGATCGGGGTTTGAGGCTGCCCTCATAGATGGCGAGACAGATTCTTGATCGACAGGGTAAAGGTACGGTTCTGGAGGACGGAAGGTGGGTTCTTCGCCATCATCGTGCTCGCTTTCATGTGGTACCAGGTTCACTTGGTTGACAGCGGGTACGGGATCGAGGTCCTCGTCCGAGTGAATCGACAACGTTGCTGATGAGGCACTTGGTGAGTTCATTTTATATAGACTTACCTGCGCTGGTGGAGGAGCAGACTGTTATTAGTAGGTACCTACCTACTAAGGTCGTTCTCGAAGCTTTTTTACTGTCTTGTTGGAGGCACCAAGGAGATGGATGATATGAAGTGAGGCGCTCAAAATTTGAGTCATCGCCATGCATGGCCTGAGATCGTTAGGCAGCACACATCCCCATGCACATACCCATACTACTGTAACTTACGTACTCAAGTAGATGTTTCCCGTCAACATCCAATGGCGTCAAAGTTCATGCGTTTTTGTAGGTACAGTATTAGGTTCTAGTGATCGCTCACGAGACACACGTTGCAATAAAGTAGATAGTCTTGGTCAACAGGAGCCAACTACTCCACAAGATTAAGCGATTGTTTATTCGCTTAATTCCCTTGGAATTGGTAAAGTGAATAAATTACTCAAGTACCTTCTTGAGCAGGTAAAGTACTCAAGTAGACATGGATTTTAGAGAGCATGCCGGGGAAACTTCGGGTCAGTGTCGTCGTGTCTACACTATTTCTCGCCCAAACTGTCTTCGACCCCTTCACCCCCCCCCACCTCATCGGGCTACTCGAGTATTGGAGAAACTTACAACAATGCCCAACCTCACAGAATCCGATCTCATCTTCTCCGAACAAGCCAACCACAATTTCTCCAAGACCCTCGGGGATTTGAAACGATCGACGCTCTCCATCCACAACCGCCTCCGGTCCATTGAGGAAGATGCCGCCTTTGCGCAAAGAGTACGCGATGCCTTCGACAAGCCATTGATTGCGAACGAGCGGTGCGGAAGTTGGTACATCCATCCCAACACCAAAGGAGGAAGCGCATATTTCAAGAGTACGGATGGCCATACCGGTGTCTGGAAGTTCAGCTCCAGGAGGTTAAATCTGCACCTTTTAGACGTCATTGGGAAGCATGATGGGTTGGTACCTGTATGATGGACTTCGCAGGTGGGTTTGATGCTGAATTAGACGTGTAGATGCATTATCATTGACTCGACAAGGCGCGGCAAAAGTACGAAACATGCCAGTCCTACCCCCTTCCGCAGTTCCTCACTAACTCCGCTAGGAATGCCGGATGCGCTCAGCAAAACCATCCCAATCTGGTGCAGTGTTGTAAACCGCGTATTGTTTCCAGAGAATCCCAAATCTCACGACCTGCACACTCCTCCCCAAGCAGTCTCGTCTTCAGAGCACGCCCAAATCACGGCCTTGCTTCCTTCATTTCAGCAAGCTCTCGAAGCACTCGATGTGCCTTTTGACAACCTCAAGCATGATATCTCGAAGCCACTGCGCCCCATGTGGGTAACGCCGGACTCCAACATTACCACCACAACTAGCATATTTGAAGATTATCATCCAATCATATGCTGCACTGTTTCGAGACGAGTGGCAGGAGGAGAGGTGAGCGAAGGAGGGTACATACAAGGCGCGGGCGACGACACGGAAAACTGGGCTCATGGCCTGACGCCTACAATTTTCTGGTCAAATCGCGAAGCCCTCTTCTCTACTGACGAGGGGGAATTGCCCGATTTGATCGAGATATTGGTAGGTCAAGGACGCGCAGCAGGGTCTGATGCGGGAAGCCTACGATGTGTGCAGCCGACAACAACTCTGTTTGTTGCCCATGCACAGGCGTTGAGTGCAGCAGATGTCGACCCGGATTGCTTAACGATTGTCTTGCTGCCAACAATCTCCGGTCAGGATACATGGGCCACGTCAAGGACGAGGCTTGATGTAGGACTCGGTCCCCACAAGGTGGGTAGTCGTAATCTTCGAACCGCGCTCCCATACATCACACAATTTCTAAAGAGCCACGTGTTGGACCAGAAGACGTCAGTGAAGCAGATTATTATTGCTTGTGAAAGCGGCAAGGATCTGTCGATTGGTGCAGCTCTTGCGATTCTTTGCTTGTTCTTCGATAATGAGGGCAGAATAACAGACGCGAGCAACCCCGGGATCGACAAGTCTTTCATTAGAAGTCGTTTAGGGTGGGTTTCTACGTCAATGCCTGATGCAAATCCAAACAGGGCTACATTGCAAAGTGTGAATAGCTATCTAATGGACCGCCCTGGTTTGAGATAGATCCAGCTGTCTACTTTCTAAATTTGGGTGCTATTTGCAAGCTGAAGCTTGCTTCAAAGACGTGATCTTCAGCCCTTGTCGATTTTGTCACTCATCTCCATCGCCATATCGCTTCACAAGCTTGCGCATTGTTTCCATTGCACTATTCAGTGCGTCAGCTAAGTATCACATACTTTGTGGATACGCTTACAGATATCTAAATTTCAAGTTTCCCGGGTATAGAGATGAGGACAACATGTCAAATCGTCTGTAACGATCCTATAAGTATAGCTTCTGAGTACTAGATAACAGACTTACAATGAATACAACGCTCCACGATCTTCAAATTCCTCTTTTGGGTCAGAAATCGGGAAGTGATTAGTGTAATCGCTTATGTATTCATTAAATTTGTGTCGGGGGCAGAACCAAGGCCCTAATTCATCTAACATGTGAAGCTTGTAAGCGAACAATATTCTACCAGTCTTCCCTCGACGGTTTACTCACACTCATTATGAGCCCATACCGGAGTGGCATCAAAAATGACCGGTCTACCAGTTTCTTCATGGACGGAAGCATTTCCATCCCATAGATCTCCGTGAACCAATACTGGTATTATCTTCCTATCTCCCGTTTCCAAAGGACGGAGAAGTCGTGGAATCACTTTCTCAATCATCGCTTTTTTGAATCTCTCGTTTTCCTCTTCATGGCCATTGGTCTCCGTCTCTCTCTCAAAAAGGTCTTGCAGACCTTTGGAGAAGCATTCTTCCCACGTTTTCGTTACAGGAAAATCTTGTTTCTGGTTTCCTCCATATGCGGAATAGGGAAAGCCAAATGTTTCACTCTTGAGCCGTGTTGTTTTATGCATCTCAGCCACACGAACTGTAAATATCTCCTTCTCTGGTATGGCACCACTCAAATTGTGGAATTCGCAGAGGATGAAGTGCGTGCCTGCTATGGAGGTATAGCTTCCCCAGCTTATAGGCCTAGCGACGAGATCTGGTGCTGCGTCGTGGAGAGAGGACATTCCTTGGAAGAAGGCGCTGACCATGTCTTTTCCTGTATCGCCTTGATGTACCTGGAATCTCAGTGAGTATGATTGTACTATGCATTGGCAAGGCGAGTTACCAAACGTACCTTCATGAAGTAATTCTTCTCGTCTCCGTTGGGACCAGCGGCCTCAATTTTTGCTGTTCTTGCCCAGTATGATGATCAGCTTGAGGATATACCAGAAGTCTTCGTTCCTGGGGGCAGAGCTAAAAATATTGAGGGAGGTTCTTGATAACTTCGTGGTGTAATTTGAGAAGTAGAGCTCACCTTTGAGGATAGCTGGGTCGACACAGGATATTACCTCAGCTGGGATGGGGATCTCCTTGTCCCAGATAGTGTTGTCTGTCATGGTGTTTTGAGTATGGTATGTATGTATGAGTGCCTGGGGTAGAATTCTGGGGGGCTTGATGGGTGTGGGGATTCTGATGCTGGTGTTGGTTGTGGAATTTACGGGTGGGTTGGTGCTCCGAGGTTGGTTGGTGAATGGGATGTGGGTGTGTTATGACTTCGGATGAAATCTCGAAACCTAGCCTTTACCAATTGTTTTGGTACGTTTTAGTAAGAGCTTGGGTACGTTCGAGGTGAAGCCGGATATTTGGTTACCTGATGATTGTATCAATGATACTACTGAACTACCTAGGTAACTACAAAAACAATTTAAACTTGTATATTATACATCTATCCAAGCTATACATTTAACAATTACCCCTTACGTTTAACTAGGAAATTATACTGTTCTTGTTATCTCTACTTATTTTAATGGTTAATCTAAAGGACCAAATAAATACCATAGAGAGAGGAGTTGTAGGAAGCATGGGAGCTCCTTGTAGCAGTCTCATTGTTAATTTAGAGTGCCCAAGATATATATATATCACCATAATAAGACCAGTGGGTGATGCGTAGAAAATCCTAAAGTTCTGCTCGCTTGCCTAGCAATGAAATCCGATTTAGAAACTCTGGTAAAGAGGTACCAAGAGCATAATGCCTGGGTATATATAGAAACAGTACTTATATCACGCTGAATGACAATATCAATTGAACGCTTCTTGTACTATTTTGTTTGAGAACAACTAAGCAAGTTGAATTAGCATTATACTATATTACCATGGGCAGTTATCAAAACTCTGTCGTCTCTGTGTTACTACAGTATGAGGGGGTGTAATGGCCAACAAAAACCGATAGAGGCATTCTTTGCTTCCAACTGGATTGTATCGAAAGGGACGTTAGTCAATACGAGAACTGAGAGTATTAGGGCCCAAAAATCCCGTTTGTTCTACAAGACTCTCTTTGCTGGAGAGAGAAAGAGCTGTAGACCTTTTTTCCCCCCAGGGTCTGAATGAAGGCCCAACATTTAATTGCTGGGGCTTGCTTCTTTCTTGGTCTGGATTTTAGTAGAGAATTGAGGGGATTTTCAATGATGCGATAATACTTGTTTTTAGTTACTCATCTGCAGATAGAAAAGTGTCTATCTTCGTTGTTTAGAAATCTTTCTCGTTTATCTTCACTAGTCTAAAATTATACGTCCACCTATATAGTCAGTTTTATGCCAGCAATTAACAGCCTTTGATTTCAGTTAATCACACTAGTAGAGCTAATAAAGTGCGCCTCTAATTGTTCTTCTCATACATAGTATGTGTTGACCAGTAACTTAATAAAGAAAGCTTAAGTTCCTAACCATCAAGCATCATCTCTAGCACCAGTCTTTTGCCGAGTCCATAAGATCCTCTTTCTTGCTGTACCTGGCCAATAGCAGAGTATACTGAAGTAAGACTATAGAGCGTGAGTTCACGGCATTATAGCATCGCTCAAACTAATACCTTAGGTCTGGTGGCTTACTTGTTGGAAACCTGAACATTTCCAATCTAGCTAGCTCTTAAAGCATGAACATAGTAAAGAGGAAGATTACATATAGAGTGAATTCTTGAAGATTCTAGATCATAATTATAATCAGATCATTCTTCATCTGATGAACAACATCCACAAAGTGCATTTGACTGTCCCTGATTTTGTGATACAGTACCCCTTGGCATCACCATTCACAACTTCCAACCAACAAGGTATAGTGGAGATGGATCACCTTTGAGATACGCTTCCTTGAAGGCTGGCTTTCGTAACATAAGCTCTACATATTACTATTCCGCCCGAGGGACATCCACCTACCAGAAACCATTACGTCAAACCTTTGAGATCCCACAAAGAAATCGGCCAGCTAAGATTCAAATCTTCCTGTTGAAGAAAAAAGGGTCTGAGCTCCGCGCTTTGCCCACGATGGTTGGCCCAGAGGAATCGTGTTCTCAAAAAGAAGAAAATAATCCCAGCAGAGAAGTAGTGCCACAGGTTTCCGTACCTCCATATACCACTTTATCCTTCATTATCGCTGGTATTTAACCGTGCTCCTTGGCTATACATGCCTCGCATCGTCTCTTACGGCAAACATATACTTCCCACTCATCGGTCTTCTTGCCGATCCCTACCATACTTCAGTGCAAGCAATAAATTTGACAATCACTCTTTACCTCGTTATCCAAGGAATTGCGCCTTCTTTCCTCGCTCCAATATCTGACAGTCTTGGGCGCCGTCCTGTATATCTCTTCAGCTTCACTCTGTACACCGTTGCATCTCTTGGTTTGGTCTTTAGTGACAGCAGCTATATAGCATTGATTATACTTAGGGCATTGCAAAGCATGGGTGGAAGTACTACGCTCTCTCTGTCATATGCAATGGTTGCAGATTATACCGTGCATTCGAAACGTGGGAGATTCCTTAGTCCTATGATGACGGCAACCAACATAGGACCTTCCATTGGCCCTGTCATTGGCGGAGGAGTAATTTTGGCAACCGGAGAACCACGCTGGGCATTCTGGACACTAGTTATCTTTGGTTCTTCGGCGCTTCTGCTCATTGCTTTCACCATGAGAGAGACCAACAGATCAATTGTCGGAAACGGTTCGACATCCCCTTGGGGATTTTGGCGTAGTTACTGGGATATTTTTATCGCCTGGAACAAAGGTAGATGCGACAGGAAATCGATACGAGGTCAAAATCATCCTGAAAATTCTCTCAATTTGGATGAAGACAGAACTCTGAGCTGCACTGATGTGTCGAGCACTACCATTACTGGAAGGGGGGTCTTCAAAATTCCAAATCCATTCATGTCACTCAAACTCCTTTTCTATAAGGATGCGTTCACGGTACTTTATCTGGCCGCATCACCGTACGCCAGTTGGTATTCAATTTCCGCTTCAATTCCTCTGATATACGGTACTGAATATGGGGTTAATGGATTACTTGTAGGATGCTGCTATCTTGCAGGTGGTGGTGAAATACTGGCAGGTGGACTGATAGCCGGAAAATTGATGGACTGGAATTACAAGTATACAGCAAGAAATGTGGGCCTATCCATCAATCGGACCTCTGGAGATGAAATTTCACAGTTTCCAATCGAAATGGCTCGGTCTCGAGGGTCTTATACCATTCTCACGGTCTCAACCTTTGTATTTGTGGGCTATGGATGGGTTGTTCAATATCGCATCCACGTGGCAGTTCCCTTGTTGATGCAATTTTACCTAGGCACCAAATGCACTATACTGCATCAGATCTACAGTGCACTTTTGGTGGATATATTTCCGGGCAGATCTGGCACTACTGGGGCGTCGAATAATATTTGTCGTTGTGCGGCTTCGGCTGTTGTGGTTGCTATTTTACAACCATTGGTTGAGAGGATAGATCGATCTTTGATTTTCACTTTCTCATAGGGCTTTTGGATGGCGCTAGATCTATTATAGGAGTTTACGTCTTGAGGCGCTGGATGGCTGGGTGGCGGCAGGATAGACTTTCAAGAGAGCTAGACTTACACGTTACTACGTAGGTGAAAGGTTGATGTACTGGGTCTAGAATACAAACAATAGATATTTAATCAATTTTCATCCATCAGTATAGCTAACAGACGGCTGCCTTTAAGGAGCGCCAGTTGACATAGTGTATTGATTTCGCTAGGCCAGGGATTTCATTGCTCTCATGGCCAATAGTACTATCTATTATATCATGTATCACTAAGGTCATGGCTAAGCAGTTGGCTCTCAGCGAATTGATTAGCGCAGGGGTTTTAAGTGGGCTTTGATCATAGAATCACCCGAGTGAGCTGGGCTCTTAGGGCTGGTTGTCAAACATAATTTATCCTAAGGTCCTAAGGCGTATATAAGAGGAAAGATCTCTTAGGGTTTGAAAGGTGTAGATTGTAAAATTGGCGTAACTTGCTAGGCGTTGAGTCGGATTCTCAAAAGCTGCTCGTGAACGTAGCTTTTTGTGTAGGGAAGCGAACAAGCCTAGGAATTATTCCCTAACGTTAAAACTTGAAGGTTTCATCTCGACTTGTCCGAAAATCACAAGATTCTACAAGATTCTTCAGAGTTTACAATAATCCTCATCCATCTTTCTTTACCCTGAGGTATAAATCCTCGCCTAATACAATAATCAGATAATGAAAATCTCTTGTACATTGTAAAGGGGGTTTCTCTATGTCTCTCAGGTTCTCCCAACGAGATTCATTCTATACCTAGTAAGATTATAAGAAGGACCTGCTTCGAGAATCGGAATTGATTAAATGGTAGCCACCTTAGTATAAATAATACATGTATAAGCCTACGTACTAGCCACTACAAGGCTCCCTACACCTTCTCTACTACTAAAATACCACTAGAACAACCTATATTCTTTTCACTATTAGAAGTAAAATATTAAGATAGGAGGGCTAGAGTTAGGGTTAGGGCTAGAATTTGGGGTTAGTGGGATATGATTTTTGGTTGTTTTATAGTATGAAGATCGCTAAGTGCCTACGTTTTATACTAGATATGTACAGGCCAAGTTGGCTACCATTTAATCGATTCTCGAGAATTAAGGGAGACTCCGTATTACCGATCCCATATCCCTTCTGCTGTAGCTATATTAGTAGTGAACTGAGATATTCCTTTTTACCTAAGGCCCTGTTTTCCGAGACGATATTAAGCCGTAATATCGTCGAATTGTATATTTAGTAGATTTACGAGTTACGAATCGAGTTTAATTCCGATATATAAACCTTAATATCTACTCTCGACAAATGGCTAAGGTTATTATCCCGTAATATATCTAGGGCCTTAGTTGGGGTATTAAATAATATCTATAAAATAATATTATATAATATACTCCTACTAAAAGATATAATAAAAACGGTAATTAACTAAACTACCCCTCTATAAATTATAAATTATAAATAAGTTACCTAAAATACCCCCTAATTAATTAGAAATTAATATGACTACCCCCTAAACTTTACCCCTTAAAATAAGGGGTAGTTCTATTACTCTTACTTGGAAGAGAGGTAGTTCTATTAGTATCGCTTAGAAAGAGGGGTATTATTATTATTATTATTACTCCTTTTAACGTGCTGTGTGAGTCTGAGACTATAGTAGCACGGCTGGGGGTTTCCCTCCAGCAGATAACTGAAACTGTACTAAATACATGTGTGAGAAGGGAGTTTTGGTGAATACAGTTATTGGGTTGTTGGAAGCAGCGAGGCTTCTGGTTATGACAAAAGAAAGACAAAAAAGAAAGTGTGTTTTAGTACGCCCCCTGCGTTTCACGCCCTATACCACGTTCATTCTCGTCCTCGTCCTCGTTCTCATCCTCAGCTGCTCGTTGTGTGTGCCATAGTCTAGTGGCGATTTTGGTGGTGCGAAGAAAGTCTAGTGTGGCCTCGACTCCTTTGGTGGTGTGAAGGAGGGATTTCATAGTAAACTCTCGAATGTGGTGTTTGAGGAGGTTACGCTTTAGTGCTTTCCTCGCGTCTCCAGTTTCTGGACAGCTAAGGAGTAGGTGAGTAGGCGTCTCTTGTCTTCCACATCTACAGCGGTTGTTGTTGGTATGGCCAAGCTTGTGTAAGTATGATTTGAAATATCCATGGCCTAGCTTAAGCTGGTAAAAAGCACTGGCTATCTCTCTCTTTGTTCCTTGAGGGACGCAAGGTTTCGACAGAATCTTCCATGGGAATTCCCTCCGATACGAGTGTTGATTGGTTGATGGTTCTGTAGAACGGGAGGGTGTAGCAAGCTTTTGGCGCCATTCTTTGCTTTGGATTTGCCTGATCTTGACTCCAAGCATAGCAAAACTTGTGAGTTGGGTGGATGGTTGGATTGTTGTGGCGGCTTTTGCAAGCTTGTCTGCTTTTTCGTTTCCTGGAATGTTGGTATGGCCTGGTACCCAGTGAAGTGTGGTGGTGGCTCCTTTGTTTACTGTCTTCTTAGCTGCCTTAATAGCTCTGATTTGACAGTCTTGCCCTGGGTGATCTGATGTAGTTTTTAGCCGCCATAAGCCTGCTTGGTTGTCTGAGTAAATGTGGAAGTGCAGTCCTGGTCTCGCGTGCTTGGCGGCATATTCGATTGCTAGCGTGGCTCCTTCAACTTCTCCGTTGTAGACGAGCTTGTTTGGGCCAATATTGACTTTCTTTTCATAGTGGATTGTGCTTGATTGAGGGGAAACTACAGACAGGCCTACGCCAATTCCTCGGCTATTTTCAGTTGTTGTAGAGGAAGCGTCCGTGTATATAAAAATACTGTTGTCTGGGTTGTTTTGGAGTAAGCGGAGGTGAAGGTTTGCTTCTTCTTCCTTTGACAGTTTGCTGATTTGTACTCGGTACAGGGTTTCTCTTTCCCATGGAGGAAAGTGGAAGTGACTTAGTTGCTCAAGGTCTTCAAGGTCGTAAAGGTTACTAATGGACCTGTGGATTCGCTGAAGTTGAGGAATAGCTGGGAAAGAGGGGTATATTTCTATTAGAATATAAGAGTTATAAGATTCCACGATTCTATTTATTTATAGTTTTTATAGCGAATTATACTAAAAAGTTAATAAACAAAGTAAATTAATCTACTCCTACTTACTTCTTACTTCGTAGTCTACTTCTAATAGATTTTAGGGGTAGTTTATGTGACGGTTCTGACCGTCACGTGCCATTCATATCACGTGGCTTCCTTAGCGAGCCACATTGTATTTAGACTCAAGCTCTCTCGAGCTCTCCTCTTCTCCTCAGCTTAGAATCTTCGAATAGACAGTTCTACGATTCCATAACCTACACCTTGGAGGCTCCTTGAGCAACACATCGTACGTGTCGTCACAGTTTAGCCCAGTAGTCCTTACCCTTACGCTTATACTTATTATTAGTTGTTCCTTGTTTTAAGTAATATCCTCGATTCCTTTAACCTATTATTATTATTATTCCTAAGTAATATCCTCGATTCCTTTAACCTATTATTATTATTATTCCTAAGTAATATCCTTAACTCCTTGCTCCTAGGCCTTAATAACGTTACCCTAGTCTTCTTATACTTAAGCGCTCTCCTTACGAAATCGGTGTTTTAAATTAGATTAATTTTTACGAGATTTCTCCTCCTTGTTCTTATACTAATTTACTCGTTATTCTTCGTTTATATTATCTAGTATATATAAAAGGTCCTAAAGTGTTAGTCCGAGTTACTTTCCTTTAGAGTTAACTTTTAGTTCCTTGTCCGCGTAATAATAGTAGTTATTAATTATACGCTAATTTAGGTTATACTTTACTATCTCTTCTCTACTACATACGTTTAAACCCTCGGGGAACTCGTTAGGTTCGATATATTTAGAGTAAAGTACTCTACTGCTAGTCGTATTATATTATTATTACTTATACTCTTATACTAGCTTATCCTCGTTATTAAGGTCTAAATTAATTCATAGAGTTTTATCCCGCTTATATTCCTTGTTCGCAAGTCTCTCTTCTTTATATTCCTTAGTAATCTATCATTTAATCCGCCATTTACTAGTCTTTAAGCTAGTATCCGCGTTATCTTCGTTATCTTGTTTAGGGTCTTGTTTAGGTACGCCTTTAGTAGGCTTAGTATTAGTAGGTTCGTTAAGTTTATTAGGTTTATTAAGTTTGTTAAGTTTATCTAAAAATCCTAGAAATTTATTATTATTATCCTAATTAATATAATCGTCTAAAAACCCCTAAAAATTATTATTATTATCCTTATAGTTATATTATAAGTTATTCTATTCCTCCTCCTTATCTACTACCTTTTATCCCGACTCTTATCCTCCTTAAGTAACGTTAGAACTCGTTTATAGCGGGAATAAGCTATAGAGGCTTTTTCGTAATCTATAAAATCGCGGAGAGTAGGAGAGTTATTAATATCTTAGATATATACCTCTTATTCTATAAATTTATTATCCTCTAAATCTATTATATTATCTAATAAGGTATCCTTTACTTATTAAGCTTATCTATACGCGAATAGTACGCTTATATAGGTTCGAGAGTTATAGCTAACCTTAGAGTATTAAGTATACTTATAAGTAGATAATTTATAGTTCCTTTAAATCTAAGACTTTCGAGGTCTACTAATATAACGCTTAATTTTAGGTAGAAGAATATTATAATCTAGTATAAGTTGATCTATTACTAGTGTTAGCTTAAAAGTAGCTTTATAAGTAGCTCTATAAGTTATAAGTAAATATCTATAATAGAAGAACTAAATAGGATTAATTACTAGGTCTTTATAATAAGTAATAGCGTATAAGGTAACTAATAATCTTAAAAGGTAAGGTAGGAATAGGTATAATTTTTAAGGTTAACTCGATAGTATGTCACGAATCACGTGCTAAAGGGCATGCCCCGCGTCATGTGATGAGTTAGTCCAGACGGCGTTCCGACAGGACAGGCACATCAGGATAGTTATAGCAAATAGGGATGCTTAGAGTAGCTAAGCGATCCAAGGATTTCACATGTAGAGGGTCACGTGATATATGCAGGGCGACATGGTCGTTGTCGACCTTAACGCCCAGGGCGACAAAGTCGTTGTCGACTTTGTGACTTAAGGAGAACGAAGGATCTATATAAGACTGGCACGTCTGCCATTAGATAGGAGCTTCATGCTCAACTTAGTTATCAATCTTATCATATTAGTTTGACATCTTTGATACAAGTAACGAGTTCACTTCCAAGTGAACAACCCGATAGTCTTCTTCTTATCATAGCATACCAACCAGCGAACACCCAGCCAAGTTTAGTTAGCCAGTTTGAGTATTCGTTACAATAAGTTACTATTATTCTTAATAAAGATAATAGAAATAAAGAAAAAGAAGTACTATTCTTTACCTTATCTAAATTAGCTTTAATAACTAGTAGAATAACTAATTCGTTTATTTAAGAAGCTAGAGTAAGGGTAGGGTTAGAAAGTAGAATATTAACTAGCTAGGTTCTTAGTAGTATAGAGCTATCTTTAAGTATTTTCTAGGTTTATTTCTATACTAAATCCGCGATATTATTAACTTCTTTAATTATTTATAACGTTTATAATAGAGTTCCTAGTATAAATAAGTCGAGAGTTTATATACTAGGATTACGATTAATAAGTACTTCTATAACTATAATAGATATACTAGGTTCTATAATATATTTAGTAAAAGGTTTAGTAACTCGAGTATTTTTTCTTAGAGTTACTTTAAAGATAAAAATAAGTAAGTAATTAATTATAGTTTAATTAACTATAAATATCTATTCTTATATATAAGTAAACTTACTTATATTAGTAATACTATTAACTTCTTTCTAGTATAAATAAGGTTTTTCTTTTTCTTTAAAACTTATACTAATATATATATATTATATTCTAGATATCTAGAAACACTAGTTATTCTACTTTAGGTCTATTCTAATAATAATTAAGTAAGCTATATAATTAAATTCTATAAATCTAGGTTCTAAAAGTTTCGTTTATAAGCTTTAAATAGGTATATATTTTATATAGTTACGAATTCTCGGGTAATACTATTTATATAAAATAAAAAAGTAGCTTAACTAATATAATTTAACTTAGTAAAATAAAATAAATATATAGAACTTAAATATATATATTACTAAATAATATTGATTAAATTAAGTACGAAAAGCAAGTTTAAAGTATATAGAGTTTATAGTATAATATCGTCGGAAAATAGAGCCTAAAACTCCGAGATAAGCCTAGTTTTGTGACGGTTATGGTCACGAGGGCTGGATGTCACATGCTCGCTTAGCGAGGCGCTAGCGCGCACGACCTGTATTTAGTTCCCAGCTCTCTTGAGCTCTCCTTCTTTCCTCGTCTTTTGTCCTAAGAATAGAGTGTTAATTGTTCTGAGTTCTACCTGAAGCACGTCTGTCACAAGTTTATACTTATAAAAGTATACTAGATATTCTCTTTATATCTAAGAGATCGGGAGATTTTAAAAGCTTATTTTCCGAGATAATATTAAGCTATAATATTATTAAATAGTATATTGTATAGGCTATATTTAGCTCTCTAAGATACTATTTATATATAAACGCTAAGTACCTAGTAAACTTTATTCCTAATATATTAAAGTATAATATTCCTTTTACTAAAAGATATAATAAAAGAACTTATTACTTAGAACTAATAAGTTAACCTTAATATCGTTCTTATAAGTATTCTATATACTCTATTACTATATATTTTAGTATACAGCCTATTACTTAGGCTCTAAATAACTAAATTCCTATTTTTATAAGTATAAACTTTTAGTTTTAGAAAGTAAATAAAGTATTTACTATCGAATATACTACCTTATATTATTATTTACCTACTTAGGGTTTTATATCCTAATAGGGTCTATTATACTAAAGCTATAGTATATATACTCTAAAAGACTTTTCTATTTTACGAATCTATTTAGTAGAGATAAGAGCTACTTTTACTTTATAATTCTATAGATTTACCTTATAACCCTTCTAAGATATAGAGATTATATTAAAATATTCTCGGAAAATAGGGCCTAAGCTATTTACTAATATAGAAAATAGAATCCTTGGTTTTATTATAGTTACTAGAAAGTTCTTATAATACTAATATATAAAGAGGGAGAGATAAGTAAAAAAAGCTAAGTACTTATAAATAAAGAGGGAAAGGAATAAGTAAAAATAACTAAGTACTTATTGGTAGTTTATAAGCGAAGCAAAGGGAGGGGAAGGCTCTATAATATAAATAAATAGCTTATAGAAAGCTCGGGTTATACTTAAACTCTTTTAAAAAGTTAGTTATAGGTTATTATTAGTTCCTAAAAGTGTAATATTTTCTAGAGTACCCTTTGTCCTTAAGATCTTACTTTTTTATACTCGATTTAGTTAGGAGTAGGTATTTGCTAATACTATCCCTACTTTTTAATGCCTAATTAGGACAGTATTAGGAATTTCTATATAGTGTCTAAGGATATCTAACACCGAGTTCCCAGAGGGCTCTAGCTAATATAAGATAGGAATCTCAACGCTATACGTATGCACGAAAGGTCTCGAAGGAATATCAGGTAATAGTAAAGTAGCATCGATCCTTCGTAGTTCAAGACCTGAAAGGCTGGATGATTAAAATGGCTATATTGAAGGACTATAGATGTATATAGCAACTTACAAAGGCGCCTAGTTACAATGTCCACCTGCTCATCCTTTACAACTCCTATCTACTTTTTTGGCCCAGTTTCATCTACACAGGTAATAAAATGCAGGATCTTATCTCTTTAATAAAATGCCAAGCTCACTACTCAACAGGCTGCACCTTCTTAACAACCCTAGCAGGGACCCCGGCAGCCACCGAATAAGGCGGAACACTCTTCGTAACAACAGCACCGGCAGCAATTGTACAGCCCTCTCCAATCGAAACACCCGCTAATATCACAACATTACCTCCAATCCAGCAATCATTCCCAATAGTCACCTCCTTCGCAAACTCAATATTGTCTCTTCGGGATTGCACCTCTGTCTCATGGGTAGCGGCGTAGATAGAAACGCTTGGTCCAAACATAACCCGGTCTCCAATCGTCACGAGTCCGCAGTCGAGAATCACCAGACTATTCCTTTCTTAGCTCCCAGTGTGATAAAGGAAGAGGGAAAGACAAACTTCGTATTCGCATAGAATCTTTCACCGATACTGATATTACATCCATAATCAAGATATATGGGTGTCTCGATCCAACAATCCTTTCCTACATATCCCAGGTGATTCCGCAGCATCTCTTCCCTCCTCTCACCCAACGAGGTGGTTGTTGCGTCTTCGGGGAGGTAGTCGTTGTATTTCTTCATTAGTTTTCGAGAGCGCAGACGGCCTTCTTCTAGTTCTGGGACGAGGGAGTCATAACTAGAGAATTAATTATTGGTTGAAGCCTGAAAATGGTGAGGAGAGGGGGGACATACAGCATTCCAGAGATCATACGCTCATATTGTTCACACCAAGGAGTATTATTGAGTTTCCGCGCTTGGGCAATTATTTCTTGGTTCTTCTCTTTCTGGGGTATCAGACCAGTGACCTTTGAAGGCCCATTTGGTAGTATGGGTATAGCTGCCATATTGCTGGGGTTCCCGTGTTGTTTTGAGGCTTTAGAGAGAGAGCGTGGATTGAATGAAGCAGGTAGGTAATAGGCCGGAAGGTATAATCTATAGAGAAACCTCTTCAACCAATTTGACTCTGAGAGGACAGATCACATACGTGTACCTAGTCCCTTGGTATTTGGATGTCCCTTACGCTACATCGCAACGTTACTGGTGCTGCTACGAGGTCAGCTTGTATGTTCATGCTGACGGAATGGTAGGTGGGGTTCTTGGGAGGGGTTCCGGGAAAACACCGGCAGATCGCTCTGAGCTGCTTCCTCTGACAAGCTCAGTTCCTCCTTCAAAGAAATCATGGTCACTTTTTGAGCCTGTAAGAACTGTTCGTCATTAGGCAATCAATTTATATAGAAACATTATGTGGAGAAGGTTTAGCTTATGCGGGGAAATGTACGGAAATTTTAGGTGGTAAGCAGGGCGGAAAACATATACGGATAACTCGACTTCCTACCAAAAGCTAGAAGCTCGGGATTCTATGTTAATTGTTCTATCTGAATCGCTATTTCCTAAATAAACAGTAAAATTAGTACTAGAAGGAAATGAAAGCAATTAGAAACATCTCTTCCTACGAAGCCTTCGAAAGTATTATCTCCTATACCGCCTAGCGTAAACCTCGACTAGGATTAAGTACTTATAGAATTCTAAATATATAGTCTCGCGGTAGATAGAAAAGGTAGCGGGCCCGTATATACTTCTAAAAAAGAGCTATATACTTAATATCTATATAGTATAATATAAGAGTATTATAAGAGTTTATAAAAGATATAGAATTAATTAATTAATTTTTAATATAGGTTTAAATGAATTTAGATTTCGCGTTATTATAAAATATTACTTAAAGTTTAAGTAAATATTTCTCGTTTATAGTTAGGTTCTATAACTTTGTTTATTTATCGCGGGATAATATAACGTTTAAATTATAATTATATAACTTAGTAGTTACTAAGTTCTTATATTTAACTATCTAGGTAGTTTAGTTAGTTTTATTATACTCAGGCTTATATATAAGAGTAGAAATATATTATTTAGATTAAATAGCTTCTAAAGTACTTATAAGACTATTTATACTTTTATTAAATAAAGTTTAAGCTAAATACTTAATTAAAACTTATTCAATTACTTAAATCTAGTAGCTAGCTTAGAAACAATAAAGAGCTAAAAAGAAATATATTTTATAAGTATATAATAATAATTAGTAAAGTTATTATTATAGTATAAACAAGTAATTAAATAAATTAAATAATATATATATATATATAACGTGCATGTATAGCGAACCGGCCAAACAAGCGAACCGGCCAAAAATTTCTACACTCGCGATTGAAATTGTAAGAACTCTACCACAACGCCTCTAATTAAAAAACACTATTCAGAAATTTCTTCCT